AAATATTTGCATCATAACAAGATAGTGTGGTACACAAGCCCTTAGTTCAAGAGTCAAAGTCACAGCACGCTATCAAATTTTTTAATATCATACTTGTGATTTCACATAAATAAAATCGAAGCTGAGAGCTGCTATACAGCCTATAACATGCACACATCTCAAACAAGAAAAATGTCACGGCCTCCAGGTCAAAGGTCAAATAACTACAGGTATGGCGGAAATAGATATGAAATTGGGCATCTGGTATGAATATCTTCAGGTTTCAAGTCGAATTAATTTTACGTTCAAAAAAAGATGACATCATATCGTGAAATTTCGCTGCATTGACACAGAATAGAATTTGGCGTCGAATAGAGGTTTGACTATATGTGAAGGCGACTGTGGTGAATTGATACGGGGTAGGAGGGATACACTGGGTGAAGATTCTACTAGCTATGTGCTATTTACTGAAGTTAACGTGTGTTTGTATAAATATTACGAAATGTTAACGGATGTACGACTGTCTCGGAACGGGAAAGTGACTGTCTCGAGTCGGGGGCGGGCCTTTGGTCAGCTGAACCTAACTTGACCACGAAGGCACGTTGATGGTCCGCGATAACACTTGTGATGAAAACAGTGCGATAGAGGGCTTATCCCCTCTCTGGCGTGTAGCTGGGAGTCTCCTCGGCCTCTACACATTTACAACATTTCTAAAGAGTCATCTTAATCTGTTGATATTATGTTTGTTTATGAAGTATTTACCATATCGGAGCGCGAGAGTCACCGCTCCATAGAGACTACACTACCGAACGGATTTGTACGAATCTTGTTTTTATCCTACATCATCCGTATGATGGCTTGTAGAGTTTAAATTAAAGACCCTGTGGATTAAAGTCTTCACACGAACGTACCGGGCTCCGCAGTGACTATAGCCAGTAGGAAGAATTACTTTAAGAGGAAGTGAAAACAACAGGAACAATGAAATAAACCAGATATATACACGTCAATACAAAAACAACAGCATTCTTTTATTTCTCTTTTAATCGTATCTTAATTTAATTTCTTTTAGTCGACAATTTAAACTCGTGATAGCGGAAAATTGCAACATATCAAATATGGTTAAAATATCCGTCGTTGGTTTAAAATCCATTAAAGTCAGTTGGTCTGCGGGAAAATGAAATACCTAGACATATGTATAACAAAACGAAATGGAAAACCTTTTTATTTTAACTTTTATATTTTTCTCCTTTTTAAAACATTTAAAAAAAACTACTTAATTGATTTTTGTTATTATTGTTTTGTTAAGAAAACCGGAAGATTTGAGTAAAACTTTTGTATCTGAACTCATTTTCGCTGCTTTTATGATGAATTAATTTTGACTTGGATGAGTAGAAATGGACGTTGTTAACGTTATAATTGTGTACGTTTTGTAAGGTAATTTAAGTTCTTACAAGCTGATAAAGCGGACATTTCTGTGTTAATAAGTATGTGTATTCTACAATCTGACACGAGTCGAGGATGACAATATACCTGTACACAATAACGGCCGAGACTGCTCATTGTCCAGTGCCGGGATTCCCAGCACTGACCAGTCCTGTCACTTTTATCTAATATTAAATTCATGACATGTTTAAAGCGTGGCAACAAATCTTTTCTGTACAAAGGAGAACGATAAATCTCCACAAACACACTCTGATAGTAGAGATAGCGGATTAACGCCGTGTTCGTCAGATTATAGGGGACGCGATCATATAGCGGATTGTCACCACCCTGGATCAATCTAATATTACTGCTACTTTATTGTTCTACAAAATAATGTAAAACGTGTCCTTTCGCGTGATAAAAGTAACAACTAGAATGGGTACTATTTCATTAACCTTCACTGTGAACGAACTTTCAATTTTAAACTAATTTATTTACGACTGGCTGTATCGCCCTACATCTATAATCCTTGGTCTAGATCTGTGATCGTCCAAACTGTCAGTCAGTGTTCTTAAGAAACCCTTATTGGATCTAATTTCACATGTATGCTCCCTTTTGTAGTTATTTGTGCAATATGTATTTTGAGACTGAACCGAAAACCAAAATGGCGGCCATGTTGCCATATTGAATTGTTAAAATCACTATTTCTTCAGAAACCCTTCGTGGTTCATAGTAGTGCATGGTCAATGCAGGGACTGGTCCGGAAAACAAAATGCCTGACAGATGACTGATTTTGAAAGAAGATTATTGTCTTTTTTTTCTAGAGAAGTACATCATTAGTATGTAGACTAAGCGGTCATCATGGTTTTCGACAGTTGAAAATTGTTATTTCTTGGGAAGCGCGGGATCTCTCTCTCTCTCTCTCTCTCTCTCTCTCTCTCTCTCTCTCTCTCTCTCTCTCTCTCTCTCTCTCTCTCTCTCTCTCTCTCTCTCTCTCTCTCTCTCTCTCTCTCTCCCTCTCTCTCTCTCTCTCTCTCTCTCTCTCTCTCTCTCTCTCTCTCTCTCTCTCTCTCTCTCTCTCTCTCTCTCTCTCTCTCTCTCTCTCTCTCTCTCTCTCTCTCTCTCTCTCTCTCTCTCTCTCTCTCTCTCTCTCTCTCTCTCTCTCTCTCTCTCTCTCTCTCTCTCTCTCTCTCTCTCTCTCTCTCTCTCTCTCTCTCTCTCTCTCTCTCTCTCTCTCTCTCTCTCTCTCTCTCTCTCTCTCTCTCTCTCTCTCTCTCTCTCTCTCTCTCTCTCTCTCTCTCTCTCTCTAATTATATATGTAGACTGCTCTTAGTTCCTAGATGTGCATGATAAACTTCAGAATGGTTGAAGAAAGCAAATATGCGACAGACAGCTATTTTTGGATCCTTACAGTTGAATTTTTGCATTGCTATTTCTTGAGAAGGACTAAAATTTCAAGTTGTTTCCATCTGCTTCATGTACATTCTAAATTTCGGGACTGATGATAAATAAATGTTGCCAACTTGAAAGGAAAAAAAGAAGAAATAAAAGAAAAGAAGGGAAAGTTTAAACTTTTAATTATAAACGATGATTAGCACCAAGATCTCTCTGGCATATTTAGCTTCCGCTGTCCTGTGGTGGTTTGCATACCAAGTGTACTTTGTTAATGTATGAAAATAATCGCGCGTGCATACCTATCGACTCCAATGCTTATTTCATGGATGTGTTGGACTCCAGTAAAATCTGAGTAACGAGCACCTGTTAGTGACATTTTTATATCAGCGCTCAGTGTTTTCTACTTCTAGACGACCATGTGTCTGGTAAAATTTACTGGTTAGTACAAAGTCTGTAATCCTACTATATTTAAACGTAAGACATACAAAAATAATACAGTACACAATATAGTTACGAAAAGCACGATATATTAATGAAGTTGAAATCAGTTCTATTCAGATCTCTTTTATTGTATCTATACGATCCCCGCTTTATAAAAACCCGAATCTTAAATTTTACGACCTCATAAAAACTACGACTAAATATATATCAAGGATGATGGAGACACTCAAGATTTATCAACATTTAATCATCAAATAAACGCTAACATGGTGTGTATTCAAATGACATAAACTACGAGGTAACACCGACACAGAAAATGGTTCTGAGAATGGTTATAAACACTATACTGCATTAGTACGGTGACGGAGGCGAATATACTAGAGTGCTTCAAATTGTATTCTGAGTAGTTTTGTAAAACTGTCCTGTGTAAATTCCAGTGACCTTTTAAGACAAAAATTACAAAACGATAAAAAAAAAAAAAAAAAAACACACACACAAACAAAAGACCTTTATTTCATTATTTTTTCCAGTTCCTATTCAATATCACATTTTCATCTTTTCCTTTAATCATTGTCGAATTATAACACACACGATGCCTTAACGCTCTGGTGTACATACCATGACGCCGATTATCTAAAGACAATATTAAAATCAATAACCGTGGTAAAATTATAACATTTTTTATCCTGTTTTTCTCACGGTGTAATATTTTCCTCTAATTATTTCACCTTGGTCAATTAGTAATGTACCACGTAGAGTTCATTAGTTCCGGATGCTGGTTACTCTAGTAGGTGGGGATATGCCCCGATGGCGGAATAGTCACACCCTTGGACAAAGACGGACATGTTTCGGGTGTTGGTCTACATAACGCATTTCCGACCTGCTAAGGACACGATGACAATGACTTACGTATACCCGCCGGCAGTACAACTCCTTTCACAAAGAGATGACCACTTCTGGACAATAGGAGAACAAAACACGTTGGGCCGATAATCATTTAACTGGCAGTTTCCTTTTAATGCCGGGTATTATTGTAACAATAGGCACAAATTACTTACATTGATAATTATAGCCCGTTAAGGTATTAAGAAATCTGTCTATTATCCACGCATGACTAGAGTTTTGATTTCATTGGTAGTTTGACCACACGGGCACAAGTGTATATATACTGGATTTTAATCCACTTTGGTCAGAAACAATCATAGCTTTGAAGAACTTACCATACCTTAAGATTCAAGTCCGTGCCTTGATAAGATATTGTTTAGCGCTATCTTCGTATTTCTGTAGAGGACATAGCAGGTACCAGTCATCGCACACCTGGCTGAGATCGGACAAATTAATCTAGACTATCTGGCCGATAATTAGGTGCAAAGTGTCTTGTATTGGATCGTAATATACCTGAAAATCACAGCATATTCTGCTGACTTTCAAATGACAACAGTTGTTGCTTTGTTTATGTTTTGGTGAAAAGAGTCCTGTGTTTTTATCTACAGCGTCTCCCCATGGGAGGGACGTAACGTTGGTGCTGTCCAGAGGTATAACGAGGGACAGGTGTAACAAACATTTACCTGGTAGGTGACACGTGTGGACGCGGGTCAATAAATCATCGGAATTATTAACCGGTCAAATAGAGATCGATGTTTTACACTTTTCATTTTTACGTGGATTATTAACAGTGAAACAGTGAAGCAAAGTTTTCGTGGTTTACAGTGATTTTGACACGGCTGTTGGATCTTTTTTTCGACTGAGACTAACTCGTCAATATGCTGGAAGTGGACAGTTACCGCAGAACGTTCCACCCAACAGGTAAGAAAAATGATACCAAAATAAAGCTTTTCAACCTGGATATTACATCTGACTTCGTGATTGAATGTGTTTTGATTTTTGATAAAAAAAAAATCCCTCTCACCAGATCCTTATTGATATTTACAAGCAGTAAGACTGTTAAGTGTAGAAATCATATTTGAGGTACATGTACTTGAAAATGGAAACGAACAGATGATGGTTGCGAAAAGCATTATTTTAAAAACATTTTCCAAATTAATTTTTCTGTAGCCCATCCCTCGATACTTTATTTTCCTCCCCTTCCCACCCTTTTATAGTTTAACCCACAAGATATTTTTTTTCTAAAAGCCGAAAGTTTTTTTTTGATATATATGTATGTTTTCAACAAATTTTCTAAAGGTTAAAAAGAAAGGAAACAAAATGTTATTGATTTTCTTTTGCTATTAATCACACAAGGAAGCAAAACACGAGTACAGTTTATTTACAATAACAGCAGTGTCCTATGATATAAATGTTTCGATAAATACAGCATCTTCGTATACAAATATGTAAAAATTTTATTTGAAATATTCTCAACGACGTAGCGTAATAGGAAAGGTATGTGGACCGCAGTGTTTACTCTGTCTCGCGAGCTCCTGCTTCAAGGAGTTTCCCATGTACCCGACTCGATAGATCACGTTTTGCCTGATACAGATTAAAACTAGAAGTGAATTTAATGTTATCTGACTTCGTACTGGGGAAGTGAGTTGTCCTACGACCCATGCTATCGTTCTGTCCGTCTGTCCTGTCAATCATTTGCCCGACAGACGCTACCTTAGGTAGACAACCCAGACGTACATCTACGACGCGTCTTTATCTAGCATGTATATAAATTATCATTTAACTTGTCTAGATTTCAATACTGTTATGTATTTAAATGTGAAAACATCTTTGACAAGTAAATCACATTAAAGCATAGCGATACTGAAGTTAACACTTAGGTTCGAACGAAAATTTTGTGTTCCGTGTAAGATAAGTTAAAATTTATCAACAAAGTAGAAAGTCAAATGTCATTAATTCTTCTATAATTTTTAGTAGAATCCAAATAAGATATGTTCTTTAATATTTTTATCTAATTTATAGGGTACGACCCAAGGGCTTCTATGCAGGATATGGCTGACCTCGGAGGCTTGCACGAACCCTTTCCATACCACGCCCTCTCAGTCGTCAACAAGCCTGAGAAACACAACTCCTTGATCCACTGGTCCCCTCCCCATGCGACTACTGTTTCTCCTCCTCCGAGCAATGGCGCCAAGTCGGACGAGGAGTTAGACGAAGACGATGATGGTAGGTTTTGTTTTCCACGTCAGATAACACACAACATTTTTCAGTCACTGATATCATTTTCAATGAAGGGTTGTATAAATATCGATATTTTAGAGAAACATAGCTTATCTGTCTATCGATACTTACTAATTTGAAAAAAATTAAGGGTGTACGTTATCTTGTACAGTAGACAGGAATTCCATGTTAGAGTTAGCTCCCTTGCTATTATTCTTATTATCTACAGCCCTTTCAAATACGCAATTGCAATTAACGGAAGATATATAACAATCGCAATACCCTGCAGTATACCAAATAAGTAACGATTTACAATGAATTGACAAGACTAGTAAGTCCTTTTTTATAATACGTGCTAGGTCATATTTAGTTAACAGAGAACGCTGGCCGAATGTGAGCATATGATTTAGCACCATACTCAATGACAGTATTTCGTGAAAAAAAAACTTCAGTGTCGATCATTTGATAGTGAGTGTCACTGAGACCCCGTCAGGGACCAATGAAACGGACACTAATCACAATCTATACATACCCAGCGTGGCATCGTTAGCTTTGTGTTTTCTGTTCTATACCAAGTGCTAAGTGTACATTTGTAAACTAGTCAGTGAAAATTACTCTGTTTTCAATAGCATGTGACGCGAAAATTAAGGCGATAACAGCAATTGTAGGTACTACAAACTGTTGGGTGTAGCGCCACAATACTAATTGATGGACCACCAGTAAACCGGAATGTAAACAAAATTGGTCAACTTGTTTACATGTGAAAAGCAAATAACATCATGTTGTTTTAAATCTGATTCTTATTCATTCATCTTAAAATTCTTTGGGTACCCGAATATGTGAACAGCTATTCCATCTGCCTAAATGGTGTTGCCGTGATACCGTTGTAGGGGGTGATCATTCCCTCATAAATTGTGTGCTATAAGATAATTATTTTTACATCGTTATCATTATGTCGTAAAAACCGACGTAAAATAACAGGGATAGAACAACGTGGCTATAAGGACGCAATGTCTGTTACCATCTCACACAACGGGCTTATTTTTCTAAACTGATAATTTGTTCACATTGAAAAATGTGATTTTAAAATCATCGTAATGGACGTACAAATTCTGTTCGAAATAATGTAGATTTTAAAATTTTCATTACAGACTGTCGTCCGTTCACACCGCCACCTCCTAGGGAACGCCTCAGCTATACTCGCTACCAGCTGGAGATGCTGAACGGTATCTACATCCGGGTCCGCTACCCTAACAGTACACAGAAACTGCTGATCGCCAAAAGGGTTGGAATTACCAGGGAGCAGGTCAAGGTAATTACTATTTATTTTGCATTCACTAATAAAATTTTGTATACATACAATCATCAAATGCATTCCTTACGATTTTCCTCAGTCGCCTCCTAGGATTCAAAATTTGGGCCCTTATTATCACTGATGAGTTCCAGAGGGACGAAACACCTGTATGATGCAGTTCTAAATTTGAATATATTATCGTTTGAGTGTCGTTTATAATCGTCTTTACAAAGAAATAAAATGGCAATGTTCTCACACATTTCTACCGATATCCTACTTTCTTATAGTAACATTTTGAACGTAGAACGTGTATGATATGTTCTATGTTCTATGTATCTTTACTATACATCTGTTGTTATGCTTGAAAAAGAACAAAACTTAATTTCATCATGTACTCGTGTACAATTAAGATAATATTTTAATATATTTCATTTCTGTTTATAGATTTGGTTCCAAAATAGGCGACGGAAAGACGTCGTAGGCAAAAAGAAAGATGGGTCTGAGTCTGATTGTAGTAAGAGCGATCACAGCGACACCAGAAGTGATAACGGCGACAGCAGGAGTGATCATGGCGAGAGTAAGGGCGATAACTGTGACAGTGATTCGGGTGTGAGCGAGGAAAACGGGGCACTTATGGTACCGGAAGTGGTTATGAAAAGTGTAATTGCAGAATTACACAAGTTCGAAAAGGAACCAATTAAGTCAAAGAAACTGAAAAAGAAAATGAAAGCATCTAAAAAGAAAGCGAAGAAAGCCGTCACAACACAGCAATTTCAGAGCATGTTGTTAGGAAGTGGGTACGACATGCTCTCACCACCAAATCAAGTGATTGCACCAGCTCCTCCTAAAGTATCGGGAGCAACAAAATTCAACCACTCCAAAGACATGTCAGCATTCGATGCTCCTAAGGAGGGAATGAGACCAGTTAATTATATGGAAGGTTACGGAAATCCCCTAGCTAACTCGATTTTATCGTCTGTGCCGATGCGGAATTTACCAGCAGGACAGTCCAATATGAACACTTCACTTGGTTGTGACATGCCTGTTTTGTCTGATTTGTTGAACTACACTAAGACGGCAGGTGCGGATACACCCAGTTCACGTCCACAGGAACCTTTACAACGAGTAAGCGAGCCGTCCATGATGCATCAAACCTCCCCAAACAGTGGTTATTACCCAAGTGTCAGAAATGGTCACGTGGATAATCTTGGCCAAGCGTCCATGCCGATATCATCCGCAGTGCTCAGTCGGGTATATCCTTTCCCGTTTATTGCTGAACATCCCATGCTTTTTTCATCGTTACGTCACAACATGGAGCCTCCATGCCGTCCCCAGCCTCAGTACCCAGGCGGACACCATTACACTGAGGATTACTCTCTGTTCCAGCCATACAACATTACTTCACTGGCAAATCCTTACTACTCACAAACATCGCCTTACTCACAAGCATCGCCCTGGTCCCAACACAACTCCAGTGCCGAAAGTAACGGTCCGTTCCAGCAGTTATGATGCTAAGACATATTGAATGTTGTGTGTGCTTACTCCTAAATATGAAGATTCCCCAGTGCACAAACGTCATTACCAAAACGTCCTCATCCAAAATGCTGTGTGGCCAGGGGCAACCGAAGGACTTCAAAGACAGCTAAACAGTCGTCAAAAGCTTTGTCGTCTTGAAAATGGCGACAGGTAGAAACTGAAAATTCAGTTCAACTGTGACAGAATGGTTTTCGAGAAGAAAATATACAACGCAACTTTAATGAAAACCTATGGCGTGGTATCACAAAATATGTTTGACTGAATCATTTACGTCTGTGCAAAAGATATTATAATAGTGTGGGCGTATCATTGTCCCTTCAGTGGAATTTGTGTTGGTGCCTTCTGGTGTAACCAGATATGGACAATGTTAACTCAACAGAACAATCTCAGGTGCTATCCGTTATTATTGTTATGTTTATCACATGTTTGTTTTAATAAAAATATATATCAATGTATGGAGAAATTTTCGTAACGGTTGCTGTTTTCATTTCTAGTTAATTGATTTGAGAGTATGATACTTGACACTAGAGATTGTAACACATTCACTGTACACTGATTTTACATATTCACTGTACATTAGTAGAACATATTCACTGTACACTGATATAACATATTTACTGTACACTAATATAACACATTCACTGTACACTGATATAACATATTCACTGTACACTGATATAACACATTCACTGTACACTGATATAACACATTCACTGTACACTGATATAACATATTCACTGTACACTAGTAGAACATATTCACTGTACACTGATATAACATATTCACTGTACACTGATATAACACATTCACTGTACACTGATATAACACATTCACTGTACACTGATATAACAACACTGTACACTGAACATATTCACTGTACACTGATATAACATACACTGTACACTGATATAACACACTGATATAACACATTCACTGTACACTGATATAACATATTTACTGTACATTAGTAGAACATATTCACTGTACACTAATATAACATATTCACTGTACACTGATATAACACATTCACTGTACACTGATATAACATATTTACTGTACATTAGTAGAACATATTCACTGTACACTAATATAACATATTCACTGTACACTGATATAACACATTCACTGTACACTGATATAACATATTTACTGTACATTAGTAGAACATATTCACTGTACACTAATATAACATATTCACTGTACACTGATATAACACATTCACTGTACACTGATATAACATATTCACTGTACATTAGTAGAACATATTCACTGTACACTAATATGTATAACATATTCACTGTACACTAATATAACATATTCACTGTACACTAATATAACATATTCACTGTACACTAATATAACATATTCACTGTACACTGATATTACACATTCACTGTACACTAATATAACATATTCACTGTACACTAATATAACATATTCACTGTACACTGCTATAACATATTCACTGTACACTGCTGTAACATATTCATTGTACACTAATATAACATATTCACTGTACACTAATATAACATATTCACTGTACACTAATATTACACATTCACTGTACACTAATATAACATATTCACTGTACACTGCTATAACATATTCACTGTACACTGCTATAACATATTCACTGTACACTAATATAACATATTCACTGTACACTAATATCCTAACGGTATACATGTGGTTAACTCTGACTTATACCGGAATCTTCAAGTTGACTAAGTGACGTTGATATCAAACATTACAATACAAACATATGTCCATCACCAACGCTACGGTCTCGCCGAAATCATCAGAAAAATGATGTATTTTCGTAATATGGTCTTTTTTACCGCCACTAAAAGTGTGGCCATTAAGTAACTTCACCATGCTTTGTGAAAGATGTTACAGGAACAATGTTTTCTTGTCACAGAACTTGTAACAGCAAACGTGTCTGAATTATCACTGCAACAACACCTATACAGGTAAAAATTCCTGAGAATTTGACTGAAACATAAATACATCCCGTATAATGAAGATAAATGCATACCGTACAATGTAGATAAGTACATCCCGCACAATGTAGATAAATACATTCCGTACAATGTAGATAAATACATCCCGTACAATGTAGATAAATACATCCCGTACAATGTAGATAAATACATCCCGTATAATGAAGATAAATATATACCGTATATTGAAGATAAATACATCCCGTATAATGTAGATAAATACATCCCGTATAATGTAGATAAATACATACCGTATAATGAAGATAAATACATACCGTACAATGTAGATAAATACATCCCGTACAATGTAGATAAATACATCCCGTATAATGAAGATAAATATATACCGTATATTGAAGATAAATACATCCCGTATAATGTAGATAAATACATCCCGTATAATGAAGATAAATACATCCCGTATAATGTAGATAAATACATACCGTATAATGTAGATAAATACATCCCGTACAATGTAGATAAATACATCCCGTATAATGTAGATAAATTCATATCGTGCAATGAATATAAAACACACCGTATAACGAACAAAAGCTTTGACTCCTAATGATCTTCAATGATGCTGAGAAACAAATTTGTGTAAAACCAGGGATGGACCTAAGGCGATGTTTGTATAGAGAGAACTTGCATTTAGCAAATTTGTTTATTTCGAGAAATAAATAAATGAATAAATAAATGCGCGTAATACCAGTGTACCAGTAATGCTTATGAAATAATGTATTATTTCAATGTGTAATTTCAATGTCGCTCTCATTTATAATATACTTACTTTCGTTTTGTAATAAAAAAAAATCGAGTGCAGTCATACTGGGGACAATTTATTCGTGTAGTGAAGTTTAATGACGGATTCTATTTCAAATAACCCGTATTTTGGATGTCTTCGGTCCCAGGCTGAACGATTGGTGTCCGGGATCGAGGATGTATTTGGAGGGGGACTAACTTTTTAAAAAAAAAATATTGTAAAGTTTGTTACTATCGAGGATTAAATAAAACATAACAATGGTTTGCTAAAAATAGAGCTACCGAATAAAACAACCATTTTGTATTGTACAAATCAACCGTTACATGATCAAAATGATTAGTCAGATGAACTCTTTATTACCTTTTTACAACATTAACGATTCAATTAAGCCACGTAACAGAATAAGAAAGTCGTTTCAGGTGGTACCATACTATATTCACAAAATCCATTGGAATTAAGTAAAATATGCTAGAGTAGAAATTTGCATTACGATTGTTGTTGTAGTTATTCAGTTATCATATAATTAATTGAGGGTCGAGGGATTTCTATAGTTAACTGTACACTCCAACGCCTTGTTATTGGTTAGCCCCGGAATCTAAATTGCGGTCGTGTTTACAATGACGGTCATATAAATGTCACGTGCCAAAAATGTTCGTTGATAAGTTAGATTATTTTCTTTAAATTATCTTTTGGGTATACGACATACTGGGATTATACATAATATCAATAAACAAGACGAGTCTATTTAATTGTATATACTTAACAACACTTCCAATAACCAGTGTGCTGTAACATTAACCTTGTTTTGGCGGGAAATGATATCGTTACGTTTAGTTGTATTGTATAACTACTTGTCTACGCATTTGACAATACATACAAATCACAAGTTTAACCAAACAGTATCAAAGTCAATAGTGCATGTACATCGTTATATGTGATCTAATGTAGAATTTAAATTTGTGGCGGGTAAGAAAACCCAATCGACCGGAAAATGCAATCTACATGAATAGCGCGCATGAGCGAGAAGTACCCGTGCAGAAGTAACTGCCGGTTGATCGTATCGTGCAGATGGCGGACATTGATTCATTGCCTACCGTTATAGAGCTAACTGTACTTACATAATTATAATATCATATTGCCATGAATTGGACTGGTCGAATCTACTTAAAAAGCAACAGAAATGTCAACGAAAACGAACGAATTAAAGAAAATGCTTTTGCCGCCAATGTCACGTAAGTTAAGTCAGTTTGACAAACGCAATCTGACAAAAAAAAAAACGGTTCCAAAAATTAAGTTAGACAGGTGGACATTTTCATTAATTATAACAAATAATTTCATATGTGTTATATAGGAGACAGGTCGTTACTTTAACAGTGTTTCTTTGAAAATTGCTTTAAAAGTTATGGCAAAGAGGTGAATTTCCAAGTCCTTGGTACGGATGTCGCATGATTTTAGGGAAGAAAGCAAGGTTACGGGAAATAAATAATTTTTGTTTGGATTTGTATGGCGTTCAAAACTGACTCCTAAAACGTTACGGGAAAGTTTTATTAATAAAAAAATCAGCTGAATGGATAGATCGACAGAGATATAAGGAGGAATTTTCTTGTAGAATAAAGAACATGGATTTGTATCTGTAGGGCCATATATATACCTGATCTGATCCCCACAAATCATTTTGCTTTTGAAATGGAAAGTTACATCAAAATGTGGAAAAAGGACATTTTTGCCATGATTGATTCCAAATCAAATACCCAACTGATTAATCTCCAATTGTTTTTGGTAGTACACTAGTCCCTGGTTATTTCTAACCTATGATTGATATTCGATAAAGAAAAAGAATAGAAAAATCTGTTGTACATGTTGGATGTGACTTTTATAGCAAAAGATAGGTGTTCTCTCCGTACATATATAGTGAGTTTAATATATATTTATGTGTCAGTCCTGTATTTGTCTTGGTTACTATAACAATTTTATGAATTAGTTTGACATACAAATGAGTTGCACTTGAGTCGGTTCCTTGTCTGCAGAAATCTTGTAAGAGTAGAAAAAACTTCATCAAATAAATGATTGTAAGACATTACAATGGAGAGAACCTTAAGGACTTGCATGAATTCTCTATGTTCATATCCATGTATTATAGTTACAATACATATATAGATTGACCATGGATTGGGAGTTTGTGTTAAGTCCTTGTAGTTTACTTTTCTGCTGGTTAATGACCTTTTTCTTGTCAAGGGTCACCAACACATATGATTCATTGGTAAGACTTCGATAAATCTGCATGCAGACTTTTCAACAAAAAAAAACTTGTAAATTTCTGGAAAATATTGACAAGTTATATACAGATTTTAGACCCCTCTGTAATGATTGATGAGCATCGGTACTTTGAGAATATGTTAATGACCAATGTACAGGTACTTTGATTTATTTAATTACAGGTGGCAGAAATGTAATGTATGACTCTAATTACAGAAACTGTGAATGTATCGTACACCACCTTGGCGACCTTAACAGTATGTCCTGTAACACCGGCAAAAGACAATGTAAATAAGCCGAAGAGAATAAGGACAAGTTACACTCAGACACAGGTCAATGAATTTGAGAAAATCTTTGTCAACAACCAATATCCTACCCGTACATTGATTGACAAGCTCTCCAATACATTTGATATACCTGTTGAAAGGATGAAGGTGAGTTTGCATGAGATTATTACACAATAATATCGGTTGAAATAGCATATTCAAGTTAGCTTGCATGAAGTAATAGCAAATAGGAAAGAGGAAGTACTGTTGTAAAAATATCAAATCATAGCAGGACTTTTAACATGTAAATTTATGGAGCACAGCATCTCTGCAGTAGACTTCAGATATGATGATACCATCAATTGCATTAAAACAATATTCTGCTAAAATTATTGTATTTATGCTTTGTTATCTCCCTTTCTTTTCATAATCCATGAAAATCGTTGATTGATGGAGGAAGTTGTTAATTAATTTTGAAGGCATTCCCAACATTTCTAAAGGAGACACTGTTCATGATAGCTCCCAGTATACTGATACTGTAGTCCTCCATATTTATACATTGATTTGCTTCATGTTCATTTTGCCATTTGAGGATTACCAATTACCAGGTATATAAGAGAGTAGTACAAGTATAATCAATCCCCCCCACACTCCTCCTCCTACTTAAATTCACTCTTCCTGTTTGTGGAAGAAAAGGGCAAAATTCAATGTAGGGTAAAACTTTTTGGGTAGTGTAACTGCAATCTTTCTGTGACAAGGTTACAGTATTTTTTTTATCATAATCATGGAATTGGTGGAGTTGAGGTTTGATCGTTTGTGTTGGGGAAGGGAAGAATTTAACCTTTTGATATTACATTAAACCAAGGAGTCCTGCCCAAAACCTGTGACCCATTGTACGCTGGTGTGCTTATTAAAGTATGATGATTAAGAATTTAAACTGAAACATGCACTGCAGTAAATGTTTGTGAGCTGAATACTAGGCTTGGACTTATCTTAGACTTATCTTATCTTTGGAATTAGTAGAAAAGTTATTGTTGTACGTTCAAAACATTAAAAATGTGAGTACCCTATATATGAGTATTTAAATATGTCTTTTTTTCAGACATGGTTTCAGAACAGAAGATCCAGGCTGAAGAGAACCAGACAAAAAATCACAAAACATTCATCTGCCTTCCATAACATGGACACCACCATGGACAAGCAGCCATCCGTTAACTGCTTTGGAGAAGGATCCACAGCAGTTGGTTGTGGCAGTGACAGAAGGTTAACCCAATGGTCTTGTGGCCCCCCCACCCACACACCATCTACTAACCAAGCATACATGAATTGTGATAGTAAAACTGTGTACTCCGCTCTTTACCATCACCCAGTGATGACACCTTTTGAAGTCAGACTTCCGAAGTAAGTTCAAATCAAATGACCGTTAAACATGCTAGCTTCCCTGATCTTCCATATTGATATATTAATAGACTGGCAGTCTCTCTGATTTTCTTTTTATTTTGGTACAATATCTCAAGTTCTATTTGGCCAATTGCTCTCAAACTTCAGCCAATGTTTCTTTTAAGGAGTGATTATGTGGGGATGAATTTCGGTTAAGAGGACAAAGGTCAAGGTCACTTTCTATTAATAGAAAATTGGTTACTGCAAAACATATTCAGTTCTGTTTAGATAATTATACTTTGATTTTCTCCCTTGTTTTTCACAGAAAGTGCAAGGTCTCGGTTGCTTTACATTTTCAGAGGTGAAGGGTCAAGGTCACCATTATAATGAACAAAAATGAGAATGTACAACACAAAAATATATATTTGAATGATACTGGTAAATATTTACTTATGACATAATGAAAGATAATGACAGAAATCATATGAAAAATCAACTGACAACAAGTCAAGGTCATCGGGTCAAAGGTCAATGTCAAACTTGAAATATTTTACTTGCAAATACTTTTCTTCAGACTTATGAAGCAGTGTTGATCAGAATCAGTTTAGAAATTGCTTGACCACAGGTCAAGGTCACAAGGTCATCTATGAATAAGCTTTTAGTGGATAATTTGTTATTATATTTTGAAACAAAGTTGGCATGAACCAATTTGTAAAGTTCCCTATCGAGTTCAAGATCAATGGGTTTATTGTTGCAATCACATTTAAATACTTTCAAATACTTTGTCATGGCATTATGTTTTGAATGATCAAAATGACACAAGTTAAGTATAAGATAACTTTGTATGTCATGTCAGCATTCAAAATTTGATTGATAAATAATTTAATATTAATTCAGTATGATATAAAAGATGATAAGAATTGCTAAGTAGAGTCATTCCCATAACTAAACACACAATTAATTACTTCTTAGTTTGCACAAGTTTATATATCCAAGTTGCCATAAAAGGTTTAAAGAATATATCCAACATTCCTTGTATTACGTATTGTGGTACCTTTCCTGACATGTCAGTATAATAGTTTGCTGACGTGACTGTTGCTTATCACTGAACAACTTTATGAAATTTGATTGGAAACATTCTTTTAATGCGCAGGATTGAACTATGTAGTAAAATAGTTTTGAATCCAAGGCAGTTTGGGACACCCATAGAAATAAAGGATACTCTTTCAATCAAGGCTATGATCTTGCAATCTGACAATTATCTCTGGAGTTAATTTGTTTCCAAAGAGAAAAGGTTTTTTTTATCAGTATTGGCCCAAGACTGGTTAAAGGCCCAACTCCTTCCATATGTAATATGTTACCTGCTGATAAACTCACTGCCCCATATTTCTTGAGGCTGTTAAATCCTGTAACAGGTTTTTGGACATTTAAGAATTGATCTGCTCAATATACTTACGACACACTAGTGCTTGCAAGCTCTGTTGACCACCTTCCCTAATTTTGTATTAGTTGACAATTTAGCCACTACAAAAAATAAATTTGATGTTATTTTGTTGTATCAGTAGAGAACACATGGCTGAATACTTCCAAAGGTCATCAAATCACGGAAGCCATATTGGAAACCGCTCTTGCCATGTAAAGCAGGTATGCATGCAGTTGGCCACACCGACTAATGTGGGATACACTTTCCAGGAAAGAATTAACTATCCATATGTACCTCAGGATGGTAGGGGCTTGCCTTCAAATAATCAGACAGGAGGGTTTAGTGTGGAAAACTCCCAAAGAGTTGACAATATGTGCTCACATGCATATAATATGAAAACACGTGGTGTCAGACATACACCATGTTCAGCTGGTGTTAACAACTATAACATTTCTGGATTCTCTGATAATTCCAAACCAATGTACAATTTACTACTAAATGTTGGACAGCTTCAGTTATCGTCATATCACATGGAAGTAAATGGCAATGCCACACTTTATGAACAGACATATAGTGGTCATGATTATCATAATGATTGCCAGTTAGGAAGTAATTGTCAGAGTGTTGATGCGACTCTTCCTAGTTCATGTTTCCCGATGCAACCATGGCATGTGGTGAACACCGGCCATCACACCCTACAACCTCAATCTCATTCCATTGCATACCCATGGCAGTTTACTCATGGACAAGATTTCAGATCTTGGAACATTAATCGTCTCCTTCTGAGCTCACAGCCTTACCAAATTGATTCTATGCAGATCTCAACAGATGGCAACACTCTGACCACTAGCAGATTCAGAAATGAAGTGCCCATCTCTAGTTCCAGTTTGAACTTTAGACCTGTGAAGGACCTGGTGCAGCCTGTTGACAACTATTTCAATCATTCTTCTAGATCTTTTGATGACAACACTAGCACAACAAGAACCTCGCAGGACTCTGATATCGACTCTCTTGAATCATTTGGAAGTGGTCCATATATTGATCAGATTGACATGACGGCCAATCAATTGTCCGACTTCAGTCCACATGGTCCTAGGTCTCCAGAAAGTTTTCGTGGAGACACGCCCCACCCCGAGCTCTGGTGCATGGACTAGAAAATGAAAAAAATATAAGCTTCCTTGCCTAGTCATTCATGTTGTATTTGATGTCCCCACTGTTTGATAGGGATGGTTTTAAGAAGATGCTGTAAAAATGTCAACAACAACAATACATTCTTTAGGGGGATGAAGTCAAGGTCAGTGGTTATATTTTGTAAGGGGAGGTTCAGTGGTCATGGTTATGTTTTTGGAAGTAGATTCAAGGTCATAGATAATATTTCGGAGGAGGAAGCAGTTGTAGTGTTTTTAGAGATGGATTAATTGTTAATGGAAATGAGGATTCAATGTCTGGTGAAATATATTTTTTTGTGAGTGTGGAATTAGGGCATAGTGGGGATTCACAGTAGTGGTAATTAGTGGTAATTTTTTGACAGGATTTCAGGTCAGTGATAATGTTTTGGAGGAGGATTCAATGCCTGGTATAATATTTTTTGTGTTTTTATAGGGGGAGGGGATTCATGATAGGGATAATATTTTTTTCGGAAGAGGATTCAAGATAAGCCATAATGTATTTGGAAGAAGGTCAAAGGTCAGCTAGTATTTGAGGGAAACCTTAATGGTAATGTTAGAAAGAGGACCAACACTGCAATTTGAAGGAAGCTTAAGGTTCATGGCAGTGATGCACCTAATTTATTTATGTTGCTATTGTTGATTATTGTACAATAATGATTTAGGGAAGAGTGCTGCCAATGCTCGAGAGAAAAATTAAGGTTTGTGGTAATGAATGAAGTGAGAAGAGGATTCAACTGAAAGCTGTAAAAATTGGAATTAAGTGGAATTGTAGTGAAGTAAGGATCAGTTTTTATATGGTGTTGGATGTTGAATTAAAAATAGGCAGTATTGACTCTGTTGAGGACACGAATGGAATAAAGATCATTGATGTAGTTGAAGAAGAAATCTACATTAATGTTTTTGGCACTTGTTTGATGCATTGTTTTAACACTGATCATGAATGTCTACATCTGTTTAACTTTTACTTACATAACTTTATGATTTATTCTTCCTGATGTATACAACAATACAAAGGATTGATTCCTGATATACTCTTAAGCCAACTTTCTTTCGCATGTGCTTTACTATTTATGAAATTATGAAAATTAATTGCATTAAATTAAAACATAGATAATGAAGACTGATTTTCATGGTTAATATTAGTTACTTTATTAAATGACTATTTATTTGCAGTTTAACATTTATGTTCATATAACATACAGCATTAATGCTGTAAGAATGGTAAGTTCTTTGTCCAGGAGAAAATATCTATGGAAGAAAATCGTCACCAACATGTTATATGACTGAAATTTTCTAAGTTCAGTAGTCAATCAAATGGGTTTCCAGTACTGAGAAAGTCGTGTCCATTGAATATGATATTTTAAGTGAATGTTCAACATTTGCAAATGTAAGGATTATATACTAGAAAATAGTAGAATCAAGTTATTCAAACCACAGTATTTCACCTCATTAGTGTATTCCCATCTTTTTTTGTTGGAAAGGGGGTTGCTTGCTTCACTGATCTACTTAACAATATTGAGTGTAGAATAGTGTTGCTGAAATTTACAAACCTCAAGTTTTATGTTCTCAAATTGTTTCCTGCTACAGAAGTGTTCCAACACTCTTAAGATAGAAAGTTTTCCTGTGAATCATTAATGTACCCTTTTTGAGTTTGAGTAAGAGCACTGTGCATTTATGTCATTTGTTTAGGTTTAGTAGAATTTCTATAAAATATAGAATGAACTTCTCTCACAACTTGTTGATTTAGATTTATTGTAAAAAAACAATTCATTGTTGTTGTGTTGGCTTCCATCACAGGGGTCATGTGTATTGTAACTTTTCATCAAATTCATTATTTCATCATTTCATCATTATTCAGATAAAACACTAGTTGTGATTTAACATATAAAGTTTGGTCAACTTTTTAATCCCCTACAAGTGAAATAAATGGGGGAGGGGGGACAGACTTTTCCTCTCTGCCCATCTGTGCTTCCTATGGGTGTTTCTCTCCTGACCATTCCTTCTCTCTGTGTGTACGCACAGCAGTTTTATTTCTTGCCTGATTATCAGCAAACCTCATATGCAGACAAAAATAATCAGGGTTAGGTCAAAGTTAACATCACAATTAATTTTTTTAGAAAATCGTTTTTAGTGCTTTAGTGGCTCCATTCCTTGACAGATTCTCATCAAACTTCACACACGCAAAAGTTAAATAGCTTGCTTGTTGAACATGATGCCATTTAGGAGACCAAAAACATAAATCTAGGATGTTTTAATTCAAGAATGACTTAGACAAACATGTTTTCCACATCGATTGTAAAAATTCTTCACGATAAAGTGTTTTAGATTTGTTTCTGTTTTGACTGCAGTTTACAAAATTTGTCATTCATAAGACTAACATCACCATTCGTCATAAATATGGAACGGAATGTGACGTACAGGTTTTAACAGTGATTTTGTTAATGAGAGAAAATCAAAGTGCTAATTTTTATGGTAAAATTGTTTGCATATATTTTTGTTAAAGCTTTGATACTAGTTAAGTATTAGTGTGATTACCAGTGATTGTTATACTAATGTGTTAATCAATAGTTGTCTCCCCTTTGATTTTGCATTAGATAAATATAGACTGTTTCATTTGTGTTCATTATTTGTTGATTGACTCCTTGTGCAGGCCATTTCTGGTTTGCATCCATTATATATATAATATTCTGATGAAGACCAGGCAAATGCTGTGAGTAAGATGGGATGAAGGGGCATCAGTTTTAAGGTCACCTGAGACAAAGTCATTGGTGACCTATTGCGATTATCTTTAATGTTCAGTGTTGTGCGTCCGTAAACAACATTTTCCAATTCTCAAAAACTCCTGGACAGATATCAACAAAATTTTGCAGAAATCTTCCTTGGCCTAAGATAAACCAGAAGTTTGAACTGTACATTCCAAATTCAACAGGGGCCTGAGGGGCGGGGCCAAAAATGGTCAAATTTACTCGCGATTTTAAAAAATCTTCTTCCCAACATCCAGATATGGTAGAATCAAATACATGTAGTTTTTATGGATGGAAGCATCTTGGGGTGATTTACCAAAATTGTGAATTTCATGGCCCCAGGGTCTCGGCATTTCTCCGAGCAGAGGGGGATGTGTTAAAGTTTACTATAGTTTATATAGGAAAAGTAGATTTTTGAGCATAATTTGTTTGGTTTCCATTGGAAATATTTAAAACTTGGTTAGAATAATGAGTGAAGGATGATGGCTTGGTGGTATGCCCATGATTTCAAAAATCATCTTCTCAACACCCATGTATAGTAGAATCAAATGCTCTGTATGAATGAAAGCATCTTCTGGTGCTTTAATTACAAAAATGGGTCTCGCATTTCATTCTGGGGAAGAAGTTTCTTTTAAACTTTACTGTAGTTTTCAAAACAAAATTGCATTTTTGAGTATAATGTTGTTTATTCACTGGAAATAACTTTGTAAAAATTATTAGTATAGGATGACACACGTCGTCGTTGTCTGTACAAAATTTTCCCGGACTTTTTTCAGTAATGCTTTGAGTTATCAAAATGAAATTTGGCATATGGCTTTTTGTTGCTAGGGTACAGATTAAGTTCGATTCCTGGCTGTCTTTGACCCTTTTTTGGCAGAGTTATGCCCTTTTCAACTTAGAAAATATCCTGGGAATATTGTTTTCTTGTCTTTCTTTGGTTATGCTTTGAGTTATAGAAATGCAATTTTATATATGGTCAAAAGTTACGCACCAAGTTTGCTTCTTGGCAGTCTGTAACCCTTCTCGGCAGTGATATGTCCCTTTGAACTTGGAAAATTTCTCAGGAATATTGCTTTGCGCAGTTTTCCCTTTATGCTTCAAGTTATAGAAATGAAAATTGGTATTACAACTTGATGGTTGATCGTTGCACATCCAGTTCAATTTCTGGGTGACTGTGACATTTTCTGCAGGCGACACATACAGTTCTGAGGAACTCTTGTTCAGTGTCACAATTTCTTTTTCAAGACACTTGAAAGCTACCCTTTAACCTTTACATTCAATATTGCTTATCTCAGATGACTCAAGGCCGCCCTTGTTTGGTTGAATTTGAAATTGGGTGAAGGTCACTCATTTGAACAAACTTGAAAGCCCTTCCAACATGATACCAGTCCCAAGTTTTTGACATGGAGGCAATTTGATATTCAGAAGGTGGTTATTGAAAAAGTTTCAGGCATTGAGATAACAAATAGAAAAGGTTTCAGTTTTTGGTTATACATGAACATAATTCTTGTCAATGATATTGTTGATAATATATGAGGTCATGAGGTAAGATTTTAATCATATTAAATGTTTCCTTAAGTGATGTCAAGAACAGGAGATGAAGTGAATCATCTTCGAACGATTCTCGTGATTTTCATTGTAATGTGGTTTGTATGACAACCTAGAAGATCTTTCCTATTTCACACACAACAAGGATATGGCTTACAATATCAATGCCAGATAGGATTTTACGTTGATGCTTTCACATGACACTTTGAACTATATTACTGTTCACAGGCTGTCTTATGGGTCATTACACTGAGAAATCATCCTGGAAGACTAAGCTGCGGTCTCGGAGTGTGGCTTGGTTGTGCTGGTCACGCCTTGGTCTCCCATGGATCTTTGCTCTTACGTGATCAAGTCTTGTTATGTATAACCTGTCCCAGACCTTACCTAGATCCATACCCTCCCTTCTCTTCCCATTGGCACAAAAGCAGAGGATTAAGGTGTGATCTATGTGCACTTTTGCTTCAACCAATAAAGACCTACCCTTTTGTTCCCATGGGCATGACTGTCCAGTAGGTAGCTTCATCTCCCAGGCTCCATTTCTTTTTGAGGGAGGTGTACTGACCAAAATGTTCCCTCTGGCGTTCACAAAGCCAGGGAACAACCCAATATTTCTTCTTTGTATACTTCTTTCATCTTCAGCCTGGTTATCCTAACCAGAGGGTCTTGCTGCAATTACAGAGCATGGTGCTGGAAAATCATAGCATGATGCAGAGTGATTAGATACATGTCTTGTCAAGGCTAGTCAACTCGTAGCTAGATCAACCTAGATCGAGTCTTTATCTGCCAAGGTCGCATGTGCAAGAATAGAGGGTAAACAGAACAGTGATCATTATAGTGATGCGAGGTTGTGTGTGATTTTTCCAGATCATACTTGGTAAAATGACACCATTAATGCCAAATTGTTACAAAGAAAATTGTAGCAGCATGAAACAACAATATGGACTGAATAGTGAAACTTAAACCTAAAAATGAAATGAATATGTTGAACTCTTTTGGTTTTGGTCTTTCTTCAGATATTTGAGGAGGCTCAATTTGAGTAGGATAATCTCCATTACCAATTTTGTCGTCAGACATCTACAATACTTGATTTCTTTGAAAAAAAAGTCAACGGTTGAAGCTGCAGAATTGAATAAATTTGAAGGCAAGGACGATGCAGTCATGGTATAAACTACATATGCCTTTAAATGTGTCCAACAAGCCAACAACATACTTTATTAAAAGACTTTATTCTGTAATAAACAGAATTTCAATACATGATCAATAACATGACGCCAGTACGTAATCTACAAGGCAAGCACTCACAGCATAGTGCAACTTACCACTTAGCACCATTCAACATGTGCAGTATGAAAGACAAGGACAGATTAAATACTAGATTTTGGTTATGGTAATTCTGGACATCACACTCAAAGTATATTGGTGTATACTTAGGTATAGGTAGCTCTAATGTTACAATCACAACATCGCAGTTACAGATAAACAGTATGAATAACAAATTGGTAATGCTGTAGTGATTTGTTCATCAACATTACTGTAATTACATTGCCAACTTTTATGCCTTCAAGCTATAAAAAAAATCCTTTTCCAGAATTCATATGATAGTTTTTTGTAATTTATTTTTGATTTTTTATTAAGAAAATTTCAGTAGATACTAATCTGTGTTATACAAGGACCAAACATTGATTCTCCCACTATTCCTAAATAGAAAAAGGTTGGCAGGTATGATGATGCCACAGATAAACACAGAAAAGATTTACAGAGCAGAAGGGTAGTGTATCAACCAGACAATTGTACCACCAACTTCAAATAACTTTGCATTTCACAGAATTATTTTTATCAAAATTTTTAAAACAAAAAGGAAGATGTGAAAAATTCAAAGTGTTTTGGTTAATCATCTGAAACTAACATTGGATATATGACGATATATTCACAACATCAAAATAAAAAACCTCTACAAGCCAAAACCCTGCTGGTGACTTATTACTCTGTAAAAAGCAGTACTTCCCTATTATAACCAAAACAGTGATACCTTAAAGTATTTCAACTGGATCAACTGGTATTTTATTTGTCAAAATAATTTCTTCAAAAGATTATAAAAAATGATTAATTTATAAAATCTTCATGCATCAGTGTCACTACTTTAAGTAAAGGCAACATGTAAAATGAATCATATGCTACTGAACAATACATTTACTGACAAACTGATGCTGTTTTGATGGACAACATCAGACATTTTACTAAGTATTTCACTATAGAAAATGGAGATAACTGGGTACTGTTACCTGTAAAAATGCACAATAAACACCAATATGGGTGACAGACAAACTAATGGGATGGTCCCTGGCAGGATATCATATCCCCAAAGCTAAAATGGGTAAAATGTAGGGAATATCACAAAACAAGATTGTGGTGAGGTTAATGATGCAACACATTCTATCAATACTTAAATACAGTAAAGCATGCTTCTCTCAACTCTGTACTCGACAAACACCTCACAATTCTGTTCTGGTCAGACATCCTGCAACTCTCTACTGGTCTAACACCTCACAATTCTGCTCTGGTCAGACATCCTGCAACTCTCTACTGGTCTAACACCTCACAATTCTGTTCTGGTCAGACATCGTGCAACTCTCTACTGGTCAGACATCCTGCAACTCTCTACTGGTCAAGCACCTCACAATTCTGTTCTGGTCAGACATCGTGCAACTCTACTGGTCAGACATCCTGCAACTCTCGACTGGTCTAACACCTCACAATTCTGTTCTGGTCAGACATCGTGCAACTCTCTACTGGTCAAACACCTCACAATTCTGTTCTGGTCAGACATCCTGCAACTCTCTACTGGTCAAATACCTCACAATTCTGTTCTGGTCAGACATCCTGCAACTCTCTACTGGTCAGACATCCTGCAACTCTCTACTGGTCAAACACCTCACAATTCTGTTCTGGTCAGACATCCTGCAACTCTCTACTGGTCAAATACCTCACAATTCTGTTCTGGTCAGACATTCTGCAACTCTCTACTTGTCAGACATCCTGCAACTCTCTACTGGTCAAATACCTCACAATTCTGTTCTGGTCAGACATCCTGCAACTCTCTACTGGTCAGACATCCTGCAACTCTCTACTGGTCAAACACCTCACAATTCTGTTCTGGTCAGACATCGTGCAACTCTCTACTGGTCAGACATCCTGCAACTCTCTACTGGTCAAATACCTCACAATTCTGTTCTGGTCAGACATCCTGCAACTCCCTACCGGTCAAGCACCTTGCAATTCAGTTTTGGTCAGACATCCTGCAACTCTCGACTGGTCTAACACCTCACAATTCTGTTTTGGTCAGACATCCTGCAACTCTCTACTGGTGAAACACCTCACAATGCTTAACTTTTCAAACAACTTGCATTTCTGTACTGGTCAATCATATTATATGTACATGTTTGTATTTCAAACACAGCTTGTCATAATATCTAACATAGATTTTCTAAATATGGTAAACCAGGGGCTACAGAAATAGCCATCACACCATCACTGTCAGATCAATTAAGGATATTTGTATGTTATTAATAGAAAGATTATGAAATAGTATTCGCTAGCATGTTATCTACTGCTTTGTTTTTACAATTGCATTTCATTATGATCATGACATAACATTGTAACACATGTTCAACATTCTCTAGGTTACACACCTGGCCAAACATACTGGCTTAAAAACTCCCAATATCTTATGAAGGACATGTTCATCATAGCAACAGATACATAACACGTGTTCATGTTTTTTCTTCATCCATGTTTGTGATTTATTACATCAAGAATCTGTCAAAGGCTCCTCTGATACCCACTGGTCATAAACACTACTGCTCATTTGTATGGTATCTCAGGTATGGCTTGAATTTCATTGGTTATGTTGCCTATATTGAATGCAGTGAAGTTCCTTCTATATAAAATCATTCATCATCTAATGAATATATCGTGTTACATAGTATACATCACCTTCAAATCAAAGGATTTCACCAAAGAAAAAAAACAAACATTTTCTTGCCTCTGACAAATTGCGGAGTGTTATGAATAGGGATGTTGAGATGATTCTCTGATTCAGGATAAAATGTTTAATCTCACAGGAGAGGAATATTTTGTATGTCGATATAGAATCCTACATACGTGTAGGCTTTGTTACTGATAAAAGTAAGCTGGTGCAATTGTAGTGCTTTTGTAATTCTCAAAGGAGATGCATTCTAGTGTCATACTAATGATTTCTTCATCTTAAAGTGGTAAAATTGCAAACTGTGATCCTGTGCAATGATAAATATTCCACAGGAGCTGTGATCTATATCGAAATCAAAATCCTCCGAATTCCAAGACAGGTACACAATACTGCAGTGTCCACACACACAAATGAGATCAATTTTATGTTACTTAAACATTCTTAGTCTATTACCACAATTTTTGATCACTTGAACAAAAGCATGTTCACTATTGAACATGTTGTTCTCATTTTGGGTGATAACAATCTAGAACCTAAGTTAGATAAGTAGAAACACTAAGGTGACTCAGCTCACAATATTATGCTGAAATAGATTCATGTATTTTTACTATCAGAACCACTGAATAAATCACTCCATAAAAACATGTATTATTTTTCACGATGTGAACCAGTGAATATGTCATGTTATTTTCAGTGCTTTATTTTTTTTTTCAAAACCTACAAAGAACACCAATATTCAATAGATACACACGCAAAATATAATACATATCCTCGGTAAGTTCAGTGAGTCTATCTACTCAATATAATTCAAAACATGGAGTGATTCAGATTAAATGTTTCCTGTTAGATAATTCAGGTATAATCAGTCTATATCAGGCCATGACAATGGCATACATTGTATTACAATGTTTGAGACAATCACTAACATATTAATAATAAATTGATAACCTTACAGTTAATTTTTTATTACTGTACACATAGTGTATTCATACCGACAATACACAACAAAACTAAGTTGGATCAAACTCTGAACATTATTGCAACAGATTCACGCTGTGTCGATACCATGTAACAAGTGTTCAAATAACTACACACATAGATATATTGCTTTTTATATGTACAATGTTAAATCTATTCAATCAGGTTATCACAGACATGAATTACATGTACATAAATTAAGTTACTTATATTGAATGTTATAATAAATTAACTTTTCCTTCTATGTTTAAAGTGACTGAAAGTGTTAACAAGTCACTACTTCAACATTTTTTTCAGTTAGGTAACTACATCTTACATACATACCATCCCCATCACAACTCCATCTTAGAGCCAATTTATCAATTTATTCTAAACATACTCACTATACCAATCAAGAGAGCACATATCCCAGAAAAATTATCACAATGTAGGTTTACTATCAGTTAATTCGTGCATTAAGGTTGTCGAGAGTTATTTGACAAATGTATAACTCCGAGGTTGTTCTGAAGTAACCCTAATATTAAAAGATAAGGAACCATGTTACAATGTATCATGATACTATACAATACTGGTAACGTCCACAACAATAGCATTTCATATTATAATAATGTAATTTCCCAATCTTTACAATACACTTATACCTAAACCAATACCTTACACAGCCATTTGCCCCATGACTGATACACTGATACACCACATGATGAATATTATTTTAACATGTCATCAGTCAATTTCCAATTATAAATATGTAGCTATATGTCATTCAACTTTTCATATCTGGTACTCAGGTGTCAGGAAAAACTACAATATAGATCTGTCTACATTCTGGTGTAGGTATCAAGGAATCCTCACAGTTCCTATACTATTATAGGTATCCAGGACAACTTGCCACAACAATATACCAGGTAACACAATTTCTATTCCACTCTAGGTATCCAGGACAACCTGCCACTACAATATCACACAGTTTCTATGCTACTGTAGGTATCCAGGACAGCCTGCCACTACAATATCACACAGTTTCTATGCTACTGTAGGTATCCAGAACAATCTGCCACTACAATATCACACAGTTTCTATGCTACTGTAGTTATCCAGGACCTGCCACTACAATATCACACAGTTTCTATGCTACTGTAGGTATCCAGGACAACCTGCCACTACAATGGTTTCTATGTTACTGTTGGTATTTGAGGCCCATTCACTTCAATGCTGATGAACATATAATTCTGCATAAAAGGATGAAAAAGTACATTTCTTGGAAGAAACACTTAATATCACTCTGAGAATGAAAGCCCTGTATAAGTAGCTATATCACATGTTTGAACCCAATCCACTCAACATCTGTACACTCTAACAACCACCAGAATGAAGCTGAATCTAACATTGTCCGAGTTAATTAATAATACAAACACAGAAATGATCAGTCATAATACACTCCAGGTCTCGCGCAAGTACGACAACGTAATCAAATCACTTAAATGATACTAGACCAAAGATTCTATTGATGATTTGTGGAACCCATGATAAGCCAGATAAATACATATTTGAAAAGAAATAGAGATTGTATCAGAAATCTTTAAAATGGCAATTTTTAAAAGCTATGCGAAGCAAACAACTACTGAAAATATTGTCGTTTTAGATATACTATTAAACTCGCCTTACAGTCACACATGATCTTACCACATTTCAGCTGTCTACAAAAATTTTCAGATACCTTCCACTTCACCAATGTATTTGTAATACAAAGGAGAATGTTAATTATGACCTACTTGTTCTAAGCAAACAAAACAGAAACTTGTAGTTTTAAGAGTATTCTTACTTTTTTCTCTTTCAACTTGTCCTTCGATTAAACAAGAATACAATTCATACTCTCTCCCTCTCACAATGTCTGTAGAAACATTCACTTGTCCGATACTTCATCTGTAACAACCACTGTTTACACTTATCCACTGCTACATCAGAATCAAAGTTTGCTAAAAACACATTCAGAATCTCAAGGTGTTAACTGATACACTCAGACTTCCACTTTTCCTCATCCTCCTTACGAGCATCAGGTTTAATTTGGTTCCTCATGCCGCCAAGCACATTGGAGGTGGCCTCTGAAGCAATGATAAGAGGGGAGATAACTGTTGGTGGGATCTGTCGTATCACTCCTCCCATGGCTCCAGTTACACCTTTCTGTTCATGCTCCTTTGACGCCATGAGGACAATGTTCTGGGCTGTGTCTGAGAAGCCCTGTAATAATCAGAAGTATACATTATATGTTAGACAGGGATGGATAGTGAGGTTAGCAAGCTGTTAAGAAGATGTAGTATATGCCTGTTTAGATATATATGATTTTGTAGCGAATTCATCATTATAAACAAAGAATCATACAAATAATATCTCTTAAAACTGTTCTGTTATATAGAATAACAATAAAAAAATTCTTTCATTAATCCTTCCTAAACAATGATATACAAATATTAAGTTGCTACTTTGTTACTTTTATATCTATATGTTATTTTTCCAGGAGAATATTACAATATATCAAAACAATCCTTCATATCAGTTCTTCAAAAGAATGATAGGTATTTGGTATAACGCTTAAGATCTGTTAATATGTGAAGCATATTTCTTCCTGCTCTTCTATAATACCTCGATACCAAGTAAGTTAGACACAGATAGTTGCAATCATCTTAAGACACATATAGTGTGGTAATCATCTTTAGACACAGATAGTGTGGTAATCATCTTTAGACACATATAGTGTGGTAATCATCAGAGTAGAACAGCAACCTGTGACCAGTTATTTTTGTGTGATCACCCACCTCTTTCAGTACAATATAAGCATTGGTCATGCCTTCTCGGAGGTCAGCAGGCTGACCAGATCGTCCATACTTTTTTCTTCTCCGTAAACCCTTGTTACGTACACTTGGTCCAGGAGATACCATATCAAATGTCACTTCAGCTACATACTGTATGTCACAATGAAAAAAAGTTTAACAAGGAGAATCCAAGGTATTGTATAAAACACATTGTCATACACATCCTATACAAAGACAAAATGAGGTAATCACTACTTCCAGATATTAAGGTATAAAGACATTAAGCCATAAAGAAAATTCTGATTGGTTCATTTCATCAGACTTTTTTCTAAGTTATGAAGATCTAGAGTGTCACATCCCTTTGTTATACAAATAATTGATGTTTCTACTTTTCATTTTTGAAGATGTGCACAAAAAAGTTCAGAGACCTATTTTGAAGTACCTGTCTGAACTGAACAATACTAAGAAGTGTTTTAATTACACAAATAGGTTCTAAATAAGATATATGGTTTCTACAACTAATGAGAATATTAACACAGAATGATCAGCCTTGTAGGGAAGAGGATGGAAATCAAATTATACTCTTGATACCATTGATTCTGAATTTGACCTCTACACTACCTTACCTGTACAGACTGGACAACCCTGTTGGTGAGTTCAAGCACTGCCATGGCAGTGGAGGTTGTAAATGAACTGGCTCCTCGCTGGATACCACGGACAATCCGCCCATCTTTACGATACTGTTCCACAGGTAACCAGAACAGATCTTTCATTCCTTGGGCTGTATCAGAAACAATATAGTCAATTTTGTAGGTAGGCGGTAAAATCATTCCAGCACTGAATAGGAAGGTTAATAATTCAAGCGTGTGCTGGGATTTATATTCTTCATTATAATCAAATCATTTTTCCAAGTGTGATCTACAAAATTTTTAGCATTGTGTAACTAGAAAATTTGATCTATTTTAATATGTAATTTTATAACAGCTGGATATATGAACAGGTGCCCTTTTCAGTGAAGCTGCTTGAATCAATTCCTCCAATGGATGTGAAATTAATGTGGTCACCTCTCTGAAGATTCCTATTACCCCCAACCCCCCCTGTCAACTGCCTCTAAACACTATACCAATAAGTGTTTATAACATGATTTACATCTTGTTTCCTGTGAATACAGATATCAATCTGTAAATCTGAACTGTTTTAGAGACAGGGAGGAAGCATTGGGTCACATACCAAGCTGGACAAAAGAGTGCATAGGTCCCACACCACCAAGTATACTGGGAAGCTGGTTTTTCCTGATGTCAGTTAACCATTCATTGATAGCATACTGAAGGAGCCGGTCCAACCCTAGCAACCTGAAAAAGTAATCATACATGTATATGAAAATTACAAGACAAGAAGTGACCAAGATATCAACCATTTAAATAACATAACGATAACATATCAAGGGAACTGGACAAAGGTCAAAATAAAGGTTAGATTGATCCATTTTTAGCTCAAGACACACTGCCTGGCCAAGGTGAATCCATACCCCAAGTATGTAGTTCCAGGGACGAGTGGTGAAGGACAAACTTTTTCTTTGATGCACATTGCCTGACCAAGGTTAGGAAGTTCCATTGACAAGCAGTGCAGAAATTATAGCCCCAACAAGATAGTGAAAGGACAGACAGACATAATTCAAAACTATAGTACCCCCCCCCCCCTTCCATTCCGGTTGGTTCCCTGTGGGGGACTATAGTAAATAAATGATGGCTTTATTTACAAGATCAAATAAATTTCTCAGATGTTTGGTGCAACTTACCCATGCTGATGATTAATTCCTTTCAATTTCAGCTCAGAACAGTTTAGCTGGGCTAGTCCTGCTAATAGCCCTGTAAGGGCACCCTGAAATGTTCACATACATTTACAAATCATTTCAAGTCATAATATTCTATCAGTCAGGGGGAGAAAAAATAAAAATCCTATATTGAAGAAAAGAAAATGAAAATAAAAACCAAAGTAGCATAGTTGAGAGCATGTGAAACGATTTTAAAATAAGATTACAATAGACATTTTCTGTTAAAACTTACATGTTCTCTGTCAACTCTCTTCTTTCCAGTGTAATCTAATCTAATTGGCACATCAGGTGAAAATATGAAAGACCTGCAATATGAAATGCAAAACTGAAATAAGTTCTTGATTTCTGACCATATTCAAATTGCATATCAACTTCCCGTCTGTTTAATAGGTAACATATAGTACTGGGTAAAGTAACCAATTTCATCATTACATTATTCTAAGTATAGAATATAGGTCCATAACTTACTTGAAGAATACTGGCTGATAAGATGCCTCCTCCTCCTCCTCCTCAGCTGGTATTGGTGCATTATCAAAACCAGTATTGGCATCATTAGTAGTTATCTCCCCTCCAAGTCGCTCTTCTTGGAGCTCGTCAAACCTCATGAGCAGTTCCTGTGGATCAGTTTCTTCCTCAATAACCTCAGGATGGCCGACTACCATTACAGGTGGGGGAGGAGAGGGAGCATTGGTTCCAGAGGCTGATCTTGATCTTGGCTTGGTGTCAGATTTGGGTGGTGAAGGACTGGGGTTAGAGTGACCTCCCCCTCCAGACACCTCAGTGAAAAAAGTTTTCAGGAAGGCAAAGGAATCCTAAAAAGGATAAGAATTTTTAGATTTTAGGATAAGCAGCACCTCTTTCAACTCTGATTTGATGTAAGTCTTATGCTTACAGAACTATGCTAGGCCAACTTCAGAAATTTCTCACTAGATGAAGCAACACCTTCCAGATGTCCCTCATTAGCCTTCGGATGTTTAAACAAGAAAATGAAGCAGCATTTTTTATTTCCATGTTTTTATTTTGTTTGTGGCTATTAAACTACTTAAGTAGTACGTAGTCCTCTTGTCAGTGTAGCACCATACCTAACAAGATCATCCCTCTTTGAAAGCAAAATAAAACAAACAAAATTTAATTATATAAACAACCACAAATACAGTTCTCAACAAGAGAATCAATATCTTCATTATTGTATGTTAAGTGGGTGTAAATCAACTGCAATATGTAGCACTGCCAGTCCTACTACGCAGATACCTAAATGTTACCTGAAATCCTTAATCAGCATTAATGATTGTTATACGAAATCTGACAAAACAGCTGTGACAGCGTATCTCACCTGGTCTACATTAAGTCGTAGGGGTTGGACAGAGATGCGGAGGGCACATTCCTCTGCCTTCACGGTGGGATCTGGACGTGTGTGAATAGCTTTCACTAAAAGCTGTAATACAGAAAACAAACAGTTGGGATATGGAACGGGATAGTACCAGGTATGTATTGACTAATGATAACTACTGGTTATTTTCACAGGTCAAAATTTTTGTGATTTGTTTTAAAACGAACAAAGCATATTTCAACAAAATGAAAAAAAAATTGTGATCAGAATTTAAAAGGACATTGAATACACATGCATCTCATTATTTTACATATCAAACTGATGTAACCATGAAATTGAAACACGAAATAGAGAAATATCGTCGCCAGGAAAGAAACCCAGCAATAAAGTATTATAATTGAAGTAATTAAGTTGTCAGGGTTGCTGTTAATCCCTGTCTTCAACCAGGATCATTTTGAGGCAAAATCTCTTTCAGTAAATGGTTGATACCTCACTAAGGAGGATGCATTTTCCAGATAAGTAGACGGTTTTCGTACATGATGTGAAATGCTTGTATACCTACCATGTTGGCATTGGACTGTCTGGGCATGCTTTCTGAGGAGTAGCGATACAGAAATTTGTTGATGTTTGAGCTTGTGAGACGGTCCCGCAGTTCTAAGTCGCTGATTAGGAGGATCTGTCTGGAGGCCTGCTCTGTGTTACTGGGGTACCGCTCATGCTGCATCTGGACCTATTAATCATTAAATATAAACATACATCAGATTCAGGGTACAGCTTTGGGTATTCAACATGTAGTACTTATACAGTCAACCTTATGTAGCGATACCTGTTCAGGTTAGGGTATTCTAACCAAGGGAGGAGAATTTGGGTCAGAATTGAGACTATACTGAGGCTCTAAATCCAAATTCTAATTTTGGAGCTGTAACATGACATTAGACTTAGCAATGAAAGTGAGAGTATAATCATTATACATTGTCCACAAATTTCTTACTTGCATATCTAGTCTGGACATTAACTGATGATGATTTCAATGACCCAAAGACATCATGAACGATAAAGTGACCCAAAAGGTTGCCACATTTTGAATGTTACTGGCATCAAGAATCTTTAGTGAGGAAACAGATTACTAAGGTTGTGCACAAAAACAAAACCAAACGATCTTGTTTTCACTTGTTTAAGTCTATAAGAATCAGAATAAGGATAACACTACAGGATTTTGTAATTTGCCGTGGTATATCATGATATGCTGTCTGAAATCTATCTCCACTATATGTCTTGAATAAAACCACAAATTTTCAAAGGATTAATACAAAAAAATAAGTTCAGTTGATACTGAATAGTTGAACAGAAACAAAAATACAGCATACCATGACTATACCTGAAATTTAATAAACATTATGAGATCTTGTAATTATATTTACACTTTTCGTCATAAATTATTTTGAAATCTATTCTTAAATAAAAATCAACACAAATTATTGGGAGTGGATTTATAACCCTGACGTCTAAGCAAAACTTTGTGACCTTGACCTGTATACTAACCTTAGTGAGCTGGAGCTCCATTAGTGTTGTGTTGTCTCGGCCGGGTCCACCACGAGATCGCCACGGTGACCTATTTACATTCTCTGTATTAGACTTAGTCGTGTACCGCATGCTTAGGAGAGGTGACCCATCACTGTAACAAATATCTTAAATGATCTTAATCTAGCTGAATATATAACTATACTTACACTTCAACCTCTCAAGTAACAGCAAATGGGGCAAATGAAAGGATTTTCTTTATAATGAAATATACATGGAATCTTTAGGTGAATCTGCTTCATCTAATATCCTCTACAAGTAATCCCAGAGGATTCTTAGCACCCACCTTGAAAAAAATAATTTCTCTTCTCAAACAAGAACCTACGTAAGTACAGATCACAGAATGATGCAATCTGTGCAGGGAAATAGCTTATGTTATACTTGATTTCTAATTAATCCAAAAATGGAACATACACACATACACATTTAAGCAAAATTAAAACCAAGATTAAAATTATGCATTATTTTGCATTTTCTGAAAAACAGTGATAACAATATTACATCTAATATCCACACAAAATGAAAAATCGCCTAATGGTATTTCTGTTTATTTCTGATTTCCCATCTGACAACTAGGCTTCAACGGGAACATATATGCCACGTTTCAACAGAATTTAATCCACAGGTTCTGAATAGTAACTTCCATAATTGGCTGAACATTTGTACTCACCCATGATCTTTTGATCTTGTAGAGTACACAACTTCTTTTTCTGTGTAAAACATAGTAAAGAAACTATCATCATTAGGAATACAGATTCATGAAAAATCATCCACAGATTCCATTGAAAGATCAAATAGCATTTTTAACGTTTAAAATTCTCTTATATTTTCTGACAGTGTCCTGAAGAGTCAATAAAACAATTTATTGGATGACCAACTTCATAAATTTCATATGAAATGGAAAGAATAATGTCGATGTTATGTAGATGGTTTCATTATAATTTTGAAATTGGAAATAAGCAAATTATTTACCAATCATTTTATTTGTCTATGTGTTGTCAAGGTTACAGGGCCAGAACTCACTCCCTCCATACACATACAAAACAATTCCTCAACTTGTGTGTTGTCAAGGCACAGGGCCTGAAAACATTCCCCCACATCCTTGTACCAAACAAATCCGTACTTTGAGTGTTGTTAAGGACACAAGGCTTGAAGTCATTCCTGTATATGTATACATATATTAAAGTATTTCCTTACCTTGCGTGTTGTCAAGGTCACCGACCCTAAAGTCACTCCCACCATACATGTACCAGACAAGGGTCATCTCCTTCAGAGTGTACCGCTGTTCTGCCAGTGGGTAATGATCTGGAGCCTTTAGCAGGTCAGTTCGACCAAGAGGCTGACTGAAAAAGTTCTCCTTGATTTCTACAGGGTCAGTAACCAACACTCGAATGGAAGGCTCACCATCCCGTGGCTGTTGAGTTATAAAAGATGATTTTAACATTTAATTTGAAAAATATGTATTTTCAGTGTTTTTTCAAGGAAGTTGGCTGTTTCCACTGCTTTCGTCATAATTTTTCCATTGAAAGGTTTTAAAATAAAGGAGAATATTCTGAGCAAGTAAGAATATCTAAAATCAAGATATATTATCTATTTGTTGGAGGACCTCAGTGAGAAAACTGCAGTAATACTCATATTTAGAGTTCTGAAGTCAAAGAAAATTTTAAGGGTAATAATATCCAAAACACATGTCAGGGATGATTCATTATTGCAGACTTACCATGATACCAAGCCCAGGATCATCAATCACACAGAACTCTTCATCGTCACTCATTACCTCCATCCGCTCTGATAATGCACTACTTGCGAATGAATCGGCACTGTCAGAAATCACAATTGGTCTGATTCCTCCAGCAGGTGGCACTGGCTGTGAAGTTGCTCCACCATTGGCAACAAAGTAAACTTGGGTGGTTGAGGACGGTGAGCCATTCTCAGGCAGATCTGTGAAAATGAATTATCAAGATCTAAATTAGGGTAAAACATACACACAAACACACACACACACAGACAACATGTTTTTAAACTGAGAAAGAGTTGTATTGATTTGATTGGAAGCAATGAAAACGTATACTAGGTGTGAAGTACATACTAGCTGTCTGCTGGGACTCCAACATGGCATCCTCTACTAGAGTCTCAAGATGTCCCTGGCGTGATACTGTCAGACCTACATCTTCATCGTCAGTGCCTGACTCCTGCAACTGGGGAAACAATTCCATAATTACAAACAAATTAAAAAAAAAAAACAGAAAAAAAGAACTTTAAAAAGTTCATCAAGATAACTTTTCTCTTCATGATGTTACAATACTGACAGATTTTAATGTACAACTTTTCAGATGATAATACTATTTGAGTAATTTCGACCATCTTTACCTGTGATCTCTTTGATACAATACCAAAGGAATTGTGGGGTAGCTTAATGGTACAATTTAGCACCATATACTTTGAGCCTTTGGTTTTGCTATCATTGAATGCAAAGAAAATGTATTTCAAAGGCAGATAATTGAATTTCACAGACAAAAAGTATGGCTAAAAAAACAATATCTGACCTAGATAGACTAGAGTATAAATATGTGGTATGATTACCTCATCGCCTACCACCAGGTCCTGAGTACTGTCTCCAATACTGGGTGTTCCCTCTCGGGTGTATAGATCTCCATCACTTGCAAAGTACTGTATGAGTTCCATCAGGGCCTTGCAGGAGTCAGAACAGGTTCGTAGATTAAGTCGATTTGTCAGAACCTTCAAATCTGTCTTCGGAAATTTCTGTAAGATAAAATAAGGAACATATATGCTAAGATAAAAAAGAGCCTCTAAGTGAAAATTTAACTGATTTTCCAGACTAGTGCTAAAGGACTGACAATTTCTGACAGGTCATCAAGGACTGTTACTGTAAACCTTTCACAGCCACAGTGATCAATCTCAGGATGATTATACCAACAGTTTTACCTTTACCATGGTTACTATCAAGAAATTATGAATGAACAGTACTTAATGGAATGATGAATACTTAACAAGGGAAGTAACTCTAAGTCAGAGTAGAGTCTTTTGTTGCTAAAAATATTAAACCCCTTTATCAAAGATATTATGAACAGAATTTATTAATGTTCATATAATATTAATCTATTTCTAGAAAGTTTTTTCTTAAAATCTGAGCAAAATCTGTAGAAATGGTTCACATCTACAATGTGTGATTTCTAATATCTAAAAGCCGTAATAATTTTAAACCAAAATAGCAATGTGATTTATGTATTAAGATATTTATTATTCAGGCAATTTGAACTGACAAGTCTATATAATCAGTGTATGCAAGAAACTTTTGGCAGGAGTGATGATGAAGTGAAATCTTGATTACAAAAAAAATCTTTTTAGAATTTATATAAGTATCACAGAACTCTGTTTCCCCTGATAACAAAGGAATGATGCTAACCAAGTCCTTGCCATCGCTAAACCGCAGTGATAGTTCAAATCTCTCCAAATCAGCAACACACACATAATCTAAAGATAAAAAAAAAATATATATTAACATACATAATACAAGAATGTATTTCAGGTCAAAGTATATTTTCAATAAATGACTTGTATGCATTTGTACACATATGTGATATCAACCAGATAATATGACATCTAATGTTCATTACTTAAGTAATTTTTATACAATTAAGAATCCCTGCCCTGACTGCCTTGTATTTACCCATACTTTTCTGAATTTCTCTTTAAAGATCACATAAGAAATGTAAATTGTTTATCAATCTGATCTCTATAACAAGATTGTCAGGCAGTTAACTAATTATCCATTTATCTGTGTTAGGAATATTCATCCATTCAAGTAACATTTTGATAATAATATTTGGTTATATTTTTATTTTGATATGATCACTCATAAATCAGACCTTCATACCTTTTTTTAAGTTTGGCATTGTGTTGACAGGTTTCTGAGACAAGAACAGGGAGGCATCATCCAAAACAAATCTGAAACAACAGAGAAACATTGATCATTTTACACACAGAACATGTCCTCATCAAATAAACACCAGAAACATTGATCATTTTACACACAGAACATCTCTTCATCCAATAAACACCAGAAACATTGATCATTTTACACACAGAACATGTCCTCATCAAATAAACACCAGAAACATTGATCATTTTACACACAGAACATGTCTTCATCCAATAAACACCAGAAACATTGATCATTTTACACACAGAACATCTCTTCATCAAATAAACACCAGAAACATTGATCATTTTACACACAGAACATGTCTTCATCAAATAAACACCAGAAACATTGATCATTTTATATACAGAACATGTCTTCATCCAATAAACACCAGAAACATTGATCATTTTCATACAGAACATGTCTTATCAAATACAGAAACATGATCTTACACACAGAACATGTCTTCATATAAACACCAGAAACATTGATCATTTTACACACAGAACATGTCTTCATCAAATAAACACCAGAAACATTGATCATCATCAAATAAACACCAGAAACATTGATCAATCATCAAATAAACACCAGAAACATTATATACAGAACATGTCTTCATCCAATAAACACCAGAAACATTGATCATTTTACACACAGAACATGTCTTCATCAAATAAACACCAGAAACATTGATCATTTTACACACAGAACATCTCTTCATCAAATAAACACCAGAAACATTGATCATTTTACACACAGAACATGTCTTCATCAAATAAACACCAGAAACATTGATCATTTTATATACAGAACATGTCTTCATCCAATAAACACCAGAAACATTGATCATTTTATATACAGAACATGTCTTCATCAAATAAACACCAGAAACATTGATCATTTTACACACAGAACATGTCTTCATCAAATAAACACCAGAAACATTGATCATTTTACACACAGAACATGTCTTCATCAAATAAACACCAGAAACATTGATCATTTTACACACAGAACATGTCCTCATCAAATAAACACCAGAAACATTGATCACTTTATATACAGAACATGTCTTCATCCAATAAACACCAGAAACATTGATCATTTTACACACAGAACATGTCTTCATCCAATAAACACCAGAAACATTGATCATTTTATATACAGAACATGTCTTCCTTATACATATACAGAACATGTCTTCATCCAATAAACACCAGAAACATTGATCATTTTACACACAGAACATGTCTTCCTTATACATATACAGAACATGTCTTCATCAAATAAACACCAGAAACATTGATCATTTTATATACAGAACATGTCTTCATCAAATAAACACCAGAAACATTGATCATTTTATATACAGAACGTGTCTTCATCAAATAAACACCAGAAACATTGATCATTTTACACACAGAACATGTCTTCCTTATACATATACAGAACATGTCTTCATCCAATAAACACCAGAAACATTGATCATTTTACACACAGAACATGTCTTCATCAAATAAACACCAGAAACATTGATCATTTTATATACAGAACATGTCTTCATCAAATAAACACCAGAAACATTGATCATTTTATATTGATACAGAACATGTTTATCCAATAAACACCAGAAACATTGATCATTTTACACACAGAACATGTCTTCATCAAATAAACACCAGAAACATTGATCATTTTACACACAGAACATGTCTTCATCAAATAAACACCAGAAACATTGATCATTTTATATACAGAACATGTCTTCATCAAATAAACACCAGAAACATTGATCATTTTACACACAGAACATGTCTTCATCAAATAAACACCAGAAACATTGATCATTTTATATACAGAACATGTCTTCATCAAATAAACACCAGAAACATTGATCATTTTATATACAGAACATGTCTTCATCAAATAAACAACAGAAACATTGAAAAAAGAAAAAGAAAAGTCTGGAAAAGACCTTGTGATGGACTCTAAAGTATCACAGCAACACATACCTGAGGAGAGAGGTAGGAGACTCAGCTATTATGTTACTGGAGATACTAAAACTCTCGGCCATTAGTACCGCATTAGTCTTGATATGTAGTGGTCTGAAATAATAAGCAATGCTTTTCAATTATACACAATCACTTATGCTGGAATAGACTGAATTGAGGCAGTCAACAATATTGATGTGGAACAGCTTCGACTACATTCAAATTATTAATTTTTGTTGGAGATTTATTTTCGTAGATTTTGTGGATACACTTTATTAACAAATTTGTATGTCCATGAACTGTTATATTAAGTTGACATATATTTATAGAGCTATGTTTATGAATGAAATTGAATGTCCAGGAAATAGTGATTTTTGAAAAACCACAAAAATTGAATCCCGCGAAAATTGAATGTCCAGGAAATAGTGATTTTTGAAAAACCACAAAAATTGAATCCTGCGAAAATTGAATGTCCAGGAAATAGTGATTTTTGAAAAACCACAAAAATAGAGTCCCATGAAACTGAATGGTTTTACAGTATTCAACTTCCTTGTATACATGGCAGGTATGATTATTGTTCACTTGTAAATAACAGAATCTATCATACATTCATTACACTACAAAAAGTCTGCAGTTTACCCAAAAATGAGTTGTACTTGTTAAATTATGTAGGTTCCTGGTTACCTGTAATCAACTGCACAGTCCCAAAGGTGTACGTGTAGTTCAGTCAAAACCTTTGCCATGGTATAGCCAAGTATGTCATAATCCTTCACATCGAGAAATGCCATTATCTACAATGTAAAACCACAACAATTACTCAAAATGAATTTTCTTTTTAATTTTCAGAAAGATAGTGAAGCTGACTTTTCAGGAATTTCATGTGATGATGGATCAACATCATTTGAGTTGGAGTTAAGCAAAATATAAAGAAACATACAGAAGATTTACTGAATCTATATTAAGACAAACTCTGATGATCAGTTAACAAAAATCTACCAAATAATTGTCAATCAGTATACTTCTGTGAAGACTTGGTAGTCTATTATTAGCACTGAATACTGAAGCTTGCAGAAATCTGTATAGTGTTAAACATCTGTTCAACTGATCAACAGATGTAACCTTAACTTGCTGTTGTTGGCTTTGACTTCACAGTATTTATCTAGAAACAAATCCATATCAATTGGCAATGTTAACCTCGTGAATAGACCAGACACATAAAAACAGTATCACTATGTAGTTTGAGTTTTATTTGAGTAAAAATTGAAATAAATACCAGGTATGTATAAGTAATAAAGACGAATTTACCTGTGCAATCCAGCTCTGATCAGCTGCAGCCATTTTGTGTTGGAGAGTTCCCCCTCTGATTCCTACTGCCACCAAAAACTCCTGTAACCATCAGAAGTTCAAGGTCATTCAACAAAGCTACATTCCTCAAAAATTTTATACACAATCAGCTTTTAACTACCACATCTACCCTGTCATAAGTCTAGGGATCCAACATACAAATTCTTGTTCAAAGTCAGGGGTTGGGCTTATTACAGGACACTAAACCCAGGGTCCATCACATAAATTCTGATTCAAAGTTTGGGGGTGCACTTATTAAAGAATTATAAGTCCAAGAGTGAGCAAACAAATTCTGTCTGACAGTCTAGGGTTAGATTTACTACAGGGCAGTAAGCCTAGGGGTCTAACATACAAATTCTGTCTGACAGTCCAGGGTTAGATTTACTACAGGGCAGTAAGCCTAGGGGTCTAACATACAAATTCTGTCTGACAGTCTAGGGTTAGGTTTACTACAGGGCAGTAACCCCAGACGTCGAACATACAAATTCTGTCTGACAGTCTAGGGTTAGGTTTACTACAGGGCAGTAAGCCCAGGGGTCGAACATACAAATTCTGTCTGACAGTCTAGGGTTAGGTTTACTACAGGGCAGTAAGCCCAGACGTCAAACATACAAATTCTGTCTGACAGTCTAGGGTTAGGTTTACTACAGGGCAGTAAGCACAGGGGTCAAACATACAAATTCTGTCTGACAGTCTAGGGTTAGGTTTACTACAGGGCAGTAACCCCAGGGGTCAAACATACAAATTCTGTCTGACAGTCTAGGGTTAGGTTTAATACAGGGCAGTAACCCCAGGGGTCAAACATACAAATTCTGTCTGACAGTCTAGGGTTAGGTTTAATACAGGGCAGTAACCCCAGGGGTCAAACATACAAATTCTGTCAGACAGTCTAGGGTAGGTTAACTACAGGGCAGTAAGCACAGACGTCGAACATACAAATTCTGTCTGACAGTCAAGGGTTAGGTTTACTACAGGGCAGTAAGCCCAGACGTCAAACATACAAATTCTGTCTGACAATCTAGGGTTAGGTTTAATACAGGTCAGTAAGCCCAGATGTCGAACATACAAATTCTGTCTGACAGTCCAGGGTTAGGTTTACTACAGGGCAGTAACCCCAGACGTCGAACATACAAATTCTGTCTGACAGTCTAGGGTTAGGTTTAATACAGGGCAGTAAGCCCAGGGGTCGAACATACAAATTCTGTCTGACAGTCTAGGGTAGGTTAACTACAGGGCAGTAAGCACAGACGTCGAACATACAAATTCTGTCTGACAGTCTAGGGTTAGGTTTACTACAGGGCAGTAAGCCCAGACGTCGAACATACAAATTCTGTCTGACAGTCCAGGGTTAGGTTTACTACAGGGCAGTAACCCCAGACGTCGAACATACAAATTCTGTCTGACAGTCCAGGGTTAGGTTTACTACAGGGCAGTAAGCCCAGGGGTCGAACATACAAATTCTGTCTGACAGTCCTGGGTTAGGTTTACTACAGGGCAGTAAGCCCAGGGGTCGAACATACAAATTCTGTCTGACAGTCCAGGGTTAGGTTTACTACAGGGCAGTAAGCCCAGACGTCGAACATACAAATTCTGTCTGACAGTCCAGGGTTAGGTTTACTACAGGGCAGTAACCCCAGACGTCGAACATACAAATTCTGTCTGACAGTCCAGGGTTAGGTTTACTACAGGGCAGTAAGCCCAGACGTCGAACATACAAATTCTGTCTGACAGTCCAGGGTTAGGTTTAATACAGGGCAGTAAGCCCAGACGTCGAACATACAAATTCTGTCTGACAGTCTAGGGTTAGGTTTACTACAGGGCAGTAAGCCCAGACGTCGAACATACAAATTCTGTCTGACAGTCTAGGGTTAGGTTTACTACAGGGCAGTAAGCCCAGGGGTCGAACATACAAATTCTGTCTGACAGTCCAGGGTTAGGTTTACTACAGGGCAGTAAGCCCAGACGTCGAACATACAAATTCTGTCTGACAGTCTAAGGTTAGGTTTAATACAGGGCAGTAAGCCCAGACGTCGAACATACAAATTCTGTCTGACAGTCTAGGGTTAGGTTTAATACAGGGCAGTAACCCCAGGGGTCAAACATACAAATTCTGTCAGACAGTCTAGGGTAGGTTAACTACAGGGCAGTAAGCACAGACGTCGAACATACAAATTCTGTCTGACAGTCCAGGGTTAGGTTTACTACAGGGCAGTAAGCCCAGACGTCGAACATACAAATTCTGTCTGACAGTCCAGGGTTAGGTTTACTACAGGGCAGTAAGCCCAGACGTCGAACATACAAATTCTGTCTGACAGTCCAGGGTTAGGTTTACTACAGGGCAGTAAGCCCAGGGGTCGAACATACAAATTCTGTCTGACAGTCTAGGGTTAGGTAACTACAGGGCAGTAAGCCCAGACGTCGAACATACAAATTCTGTCTAACAGTCCAGGGTTAGGTTTACTACAGGGCAGTAAGCCCAGACGTCGAACATACAAATTCTGTCTGACAGTCTAGGGTTAGGTTTACTACAGGGCAGTAACCCCAGGGGTCGAACATACAAATTCTGTCTGACAGTCCAGGGTTAGGTTTACTACAGGGCAGTAAGCCCAGGGGTCGAACATACAAATTCTGTCTGACAGTCTAGGGTTAGGTTTACTACAGGGCAGTAACCCCAGGGGTCGAACATACAAATTCTGTCTGACAGTCCAGGGTTAGGTTTACTACAGGGCAGTAAGCCCAGACGTCGAACATACAAATTCTGTCTGACAGTCCAGGGTTAGGTTTACTACAGGGCAGTAAGCCCAGGGGTCGAACATACAAATTCTGTCTGACAGTCCAGGGTTAGGTTTACTACAGGGCAGTAAGCCCAGACGTCGAACATACAAATTCTGTCTGACAGTCCAGGGTTAGGTTTACTACAGGGCAGTAAGCCCAGGGGTCGAACATACAAATTCTGTCTGACAGTCTTATTACAGGATAATTACAGGATAATAAATTACTGTTTGTAATTTTATTGAACAACAATAGATATGGGTGAGCTTATATCCAGACATTGCCTTATAGCTGGATCAATATTGTACAGTTAAACCTATCATATGCAATGTTCAAACAGAGGCAATAAATAAGATAACAAACGACAGATGGCCAATTAATACAAGATCAATGACAAAAAAACCCACTCAAATTAAATTTGTTTATTACAACCAATATCGCCTATATTAATTGTTTAAAGAAAGTTTATTATGATATATTCCAACATGAAATATCAGATATTAACATATGTTTTCAACTCAGAAATGAATTTGTAAGCTCGAAGCCAATTATCCATATTTGAAACCTGGACTGTTCTTTGTGGCCCTAGTTATCGGCTAGTTATTGCCTGAGACACCCTTAGGTAGCTAGTCCCACCTTTCATCTGTCTATGTCAGGAAACAATAGAGATAGTCACCTGCCCATGCCACTTGTAGCACATACAGTTACAGTCACAGTTACATAATTAAGACTTATAATAAGACTCAAACATTTAGAACAAAAAGGGTAAATGTACAATACACACTGGCTGCAGACTTTTTTAACAGCTATTTACTAACCAGCCATAATTTTGTGAATATTCCATGATTCTGATAGCAGCCTGTGGTTTATTAGAAATTTCTCTCATTCAGCCAGTCATGTGTTTAAATAACCATAAATTGCCAGCTATACAGCAATAAATCCAGTTTGATGTCTCATGTTCCTGCCACATGAGCATGGTGCCAAAAATAGGTAGATCCTCACACCAATGTCATATTTACAATTTTGTAGTGATTAATTCCCTATATGATATTTTCATTCAGATCATAGCACATACAGAGGAACTAGTTAAGGGATTATCAAATTAAATTGTAGAATTAAATGATTTTATTTGTAGTAAACTGCTTGGGTAGCACCACTTACAGGACATGTGATTGTCACTTGATTATCTTAAATTTCGCATGGAAAAATAGTATTGACGTTTATGGAAACCAGGTAACTTTCAGAAATGATGGTCGCCTCAGAGAGGTGGTCAATTAATTCAGGTCATATATAATGTTAATTGCACTGAGAGGGAAAATTACGGTCATAATATGAGAGGAAATCACTTAATGCAGGTGGTTGCGAAATGCAGGGTTGACTGTATTTAATATTTGAGAGAGTAAGACTAACCTTAATTTTTTCGTCCTTTGTTAAATCATTGATAGGTGTAGAATCCAGTTTGATCTTCACAGCGACTGACACCATATCACTGGTGTCGATATCATAGGACGTATCCATGGACTTGGCCATGACTCCCGGGTCAGTCTTGTGTACGAGTCTGTGGTCCCTTAGGTGATCAGGAATTCTACACACATCTTCTCGTGTGAGACTGATTGCCTTTTCTTTAAACACATCATCTACAGCAGCTGAAACATATTTCCAATTATTATCTCTGTGGTACAAGATACAACAATGTAGCTCATGAACAGATGAATATTAATTTTTAAGCATTTCCTAATACCACTATAAACAAAATTAGGTAAAAATCAGATATCTAAATTTCAATCAATAAGAGGCCTTTATTAGGCCTTGGCATAGTTGTCATGACAATAAAACCTATAAAATGATGTTTGGCATCCCTGTGTGCCCTTATACACCAAAATACATCAAAAGTATTGTTCAACAATGGTATGAACCAAATTTCAAGTCTACTGAATGCTATGATAACTCTCTGAAAAGGGGAAAAATGACAAGTCACATCAGGGCTTACATATTGGCCATACCCACAAAATGTTTTTTATTCAATGAATCTTAGTTGTAAAACGTGCTAACTAATGGTATTCTCTAACCAGCCTCTGAACAACAAAGGCCACGTGTGATTTGAACAATAAACATTGAGTTATCATTTTGAGATCAGTGACCCAGTCAGAAACGTTCAACTGTAAAACACACATACCACAGTGGTAAAGTTCTGCCTTGTGACTGAGGAAGCAGACATACTGTAGACTGGGGTCGCCATTGTGGTTGGCTACAGTAAAGATAGTGGCATCCTCCAGCATGATCACCACTTCTCCATGGACCTTCTCTTCCTGTAAACATAAAATATCTGATTATAAAAACCTAGAATCCTCCCTCAGGACTTCTGTTCCTGTAAATATATAATATCTGATTATAAAAACCTAGAATCCTCCCTCAGGACTTCTGTTCCTGTAAATATATAATATCTGATTATAAAAACCTCCTCCCTCAGGACTTCTGTTCCTGTAAATATATAATATCTGATTATAAAAACCTAGAATCCTCCCTCAGGACTTCTGTTCCTGTAAATATAAAACATCTGATTATAAAAACCTAGAATCCTCCCTCAGGACTTCTGTTCCTGTAAATATATAATATCTGATTATAAAAACCTAGAATCCTCCCTCAGGACTTCTGTTCCTGTAAATATAAAACATCTGATTATAAAAACCTAGAATCCTCCCTCAGGACTTCTGTTCCTGTAAATATAAAAACATCTGTAAATATATAATATTATATAAACATCAGGACTTCTGTTCCTGTAAATATAAAACATCTGATTATATAAACATAGGAAACTCTCTAGGGTCTTCTCTTCCTGTAAATATAAAAATATCTGGTTATATAAACCTACAACCTTGCCAGGGACTTCTGTTCCTGTAAATATAAAGCATCTAATTATACAAACCTAGAAATAAAAAGTTATATAAGCCTAGAAACCTCCTGTATGTGCACACTACCTGTTTCTACAAATTAAAGAAACCACTCTGGGGTTTTCTTTTCCTCTAAATATACACTACATGGTTATATAAAACTTGGAAACCTCTCTAGACAATACCCAGCTTTATACGCCTAGAAATATGAGTACAACTTAACTCCATATTTCAAAATTCTTCAATGTAGGTGATAAAACTGTCTCAATTGTGTCTTAAAACAGTAAAAGCTATTTTTATCATGGAATCATGAAACAAGAAACTGATCCAAGGTGGTCTCATTCTTGCTCTCTCTGTAAACATGGTAAAACTAGAAGATGTCTGTAAGACATGAATGCCCCCACCCCCCCCCATGTGAAATAATAGTGAAAGGTCCGAATGAAGTTGTTAGGTGGTATATACTGATTTGGGACGGGACGGGACGGGACGGGACGGGATGGGACGGACATGGGCAACGCTATATGCCCCCGGCCATAAATGGCGGGGGCATAAAAAAATTCCTCAGTTTTGTTGTAGTGATGACATGAATGAAATGAAGGGACAGAACAGGAAAGGATAAAGAACAGATGTTGGAAAGTTGATAACTTACATGAGAGTTTGTGATAGCAGTGAGTTTGCCTTTGTCTATCTTTACGGAGAGACACATTTTGCTGGGCTGTTCCTTCTTGGTGGGTTTCCGTCTTGGATAACGGGAGTCGTGTATACTATAGTAGCCGAAACTTGAATCATCCTCCTCGTCTGAGGACTCTGTCAACAGATAACAGGTTTACTCGGATTTCCCAGCTTTATTTATCATCTACATAACAATAATATGTTGTACATAATGAACTCAAACAACCACAATTGGAATCATGGGCATTGCTTCATTTTTAATTTAAGAATTTAGTCCAAACTTATTCCTTATTAAAAATTTGACAGTACACAATATACTATGTACTTCTATTTCATTAAAATCCAGCAATTTTGAATTGATAATTAACTAACAAAAAATTTCATATTTATTCTGTATTTCTTCCAAACTTTTTTGCTTTAATACTTGAAACACAATTACCTTACAGTCTTGAATGCATCATTTTATGAACAGAGGGTACCTACCATACTTTATGGCTGATTTTGCCATATGGAAGGAATCTTGGAGAGCATTTGGGTAGCAGCTAAGGTCAAAGGTTGCTGCTGTCAGTAATGGATCTTGTGTTTGTAGAGGTGAAGGGGCCATTGGTTCCCACAGTAACAGGTCACTATTGATCCTACAATATCATTATAATGTATATAATCGTCTTTTAATTTTAAAAATTACAGTCGGTATTTCCAATATAGAAAGTAATTAAATTCTAGATTGATTCCATTTGAATAGAATATAAGACTATGCATACAATTAAAACTAGCAAACAGTGGCATGAAGGAATCACCATTTTAATGTTGTATATACAGAAAAAGAGAATACTATGCTTAGTAAAACCTCTTATATTTTCTGAAAATCAAAAAATACTGAAACCAATTATTAAAATCATGATAGCAAAAAACATTAGTCAGATTTACCTATTGTACAGAACTTCATAGAAATGTTTATCGGGAATGTGAAGGTTAACAAAGGGTAGAGAGAACTCCAGGGTCATGTGCGTGTTGCTTAGAGACTTTTCTTGAAACTCCTGGATTTCTCTGCGATCACCAGGCATAATCATCTGTGGAAGAAATAACAAGATGGTTATCAGAGAATTATTGTTAAAAATGTATGAAAGACACCCATAATTTTCTAGTATCTTTCTTTAAATCTAAATTTAGAAATTGATATACCTATATGTGTATTATATGTTGAACAATGAATAAATATAGTAAATGGATATCTAACTCTGAAGTCAGTAAATTTGACACCAACATTACCTCCTCACTGACGTGAGTAGACTGGTCTTTTTCGCTATACTCCTCTTTCCCATACATGTTCTTTTTGTTGGAAAAAGGGGAGGGATCACGCTTAGTGAATAGACACGCCCCATTGAAGGAATCCTGGGGTGTATTGTCTTCAGATTCGACAGGCTCCTCCTCCAGTACAGAAGTGGTCTTGTTGGAGAACTTGATGGACAACCTTTACAGTTATAAATAATGTGTTATTTATCATGTTAATGTTTAACAAGTGAAATATAAGGCTTTATACTGAATTCAAAATTTACATTTTTATTACATAGAAACAGAAAAGAGGCCCACTGGATTTCAAAGTAATGGTGGAGCAATATTACATGAAAATTACCGCACTCCATCAAACAAGAGATCCTAGAGGGATCTCAGTGCCCACCATTGTTTGATCTTTATTTGTTCTTTAAAAGTTGGATCTTTTCTGTTCTTTTCTCTTCCCTCCTCTGTCCTTACTCTTAATGATATGAAATTTGAACATTCCTTTGCAGAAATAGCAATACAAATGTAATAGTCTTTAACCCACAAATACAGTTCCAAAATAAAATGGACACGACTAATGACAATGAGAACCTACCTATGAAATATAAGAAAGATCCATATAGTATTTCTTCAGAAATAGGGATAACCCAAAATATTTACAGATGGATGAACCGTTGACAACTGACACATGACGATAAGAATAGCCCATCATCCTAAAACTCTTGATGGTTGAATTCCTTCATTAAGGGTATAGTTCTAATCCTTACAACACGTTGATTATTACAAACATGTCTGATCAACATCCAACAGAACAAGTCGGCAGAACTTGAATACTGCGGGACTCCATCAATAAAAAATTCTCCACTAAATGAGGCATATTACCATATCTATATAAATTTGACAGACATTTTCTGTGAAATCAAAGTTTGTTTTGCACTCAGTGACCCATAGTGCTCCCCTCCTCCTCCCCAAATACTTAAAAATCAAATACTGTGATATTACTAAACAGCTGTTCTTACCGTGGGAAATTATTACAACCATCTTCATTCTCATCACCTCCTACAAAGGCAAATGGTTCTGGCTCCTCTTTGATAGGGTCAATCTTAAAAAAGGCTGGAATTCAAAAGAAAACAATTTACTGTACAGTTGTCTCCCTTTACATGTGTTACTGTTTCACTACACAGATGATTGACTTTCTAAAATATGATTGTTGCTCCTTTTAAACTTTTGTTTTTAATCCTTAGGTTATTTACTGAAGTTCATACTGTCACTCATCATCTAAGCTGCAATAGAAAACTGTGAAACCCTAAACAAATAGCACTGTGTACAAGCCAGACAAACCCTTACATAAGAGTTCAGATATCCCTGTTCATGAAGTAGACTCATGATTATTTTTCTAATAAAGAGAAAATTGTAACATGTTGCAAGTTATTGTTGGAAAATATATCCAATATACTGTCTTTCATGGCCCATTAAATTTGTATTGAAATAGATACTGTTGGTTACTTAACAATGAAATGATGTTGAGACTGTACCTTTGAGTAGCGACATAACACATACTTTTCAGTACTCTTTATGAGTTTTATCCCACCTCTACATTATGTAGAATTCCCTTTACCAATACCAGATCATACAGTGAAGTATGTGATATTATCATCAACAGCATCAATCAGCAACAAATCCTTCTCACCATCAAAAATGACAGGTTTTGTAAAACAGTAGAACTTCTCCAAACTGACCATGAATGGGACATATAACATTTGGCTGGTTTAAAGAGGGTTTGGATTGTAGAAGTGAACCAAGTTTACCGGTTCAGACTCGTATATAATGGAACCAACTCCGATCTGTATATCACATTAACATTCGTTTGTTTTCAGCATTTATGCTGCAAATGTCCAAAAGCTTTATAGAATAAAAATATATTGGTAAACCAGAAAAAAGTGATACTTGTATACTATATAGGACATTGGTCAAAAATAAATCTGCACATTTCCTGTTATCTCAGAAGTGACATTACAAACGGCTCAACACTGGATGTACCCCCGGTTGCAAGGTCGGCAGCTTACCTGAAAGTGTTGCCAATCATGTATCTAATGAAAAGGTGTTTGTTGATTAGTAAAACAACACTCTATTAATATATTCATTGTGTATGTGTTCAAAATAATATTCATTTACCCACGATTTGGATACGTAACGGTGGCTTTCTAACTCTGTATCAGTACTTATTTTCACATTATCTGTAACTGAATCTTGCTTCGGTGAAACAATGGAATCGTTAAATATGGTTCAAATTTGTCATTGGAGATAACTATTTTATCAAGTGTTTATTATAATCTTCCTGATTAGGGTTGTTATGGTGTACAAAGCATACCCATGATAGGTGTATGTAGTGGGAGTACAAAGCTTACAACTGTTACCACAGGTGTTGAATTCATGGTCAACTGGTCTTGATAGGTCAGGTAAATCTGGTTTTCAGAAGTGATTTTCAGTACATTCAATTTTTTTGTGGACACTAATTCAGTTCAGTATTCAGAATTGAGAGGGATCAGTATAGGGAAGGTTTTTATTACTATAGTAAAGAGGACATCATTCCGTACATCACCATATCCTTCAGTTTCAAGGATGATCTGTTTTGAAAAGTATCAGTTTGAGGAAGTTGCACTGTAATAATGAAAATGACTTATCTTATGTAGAAAAATCTAAATCTTTTGAAACGTATTCTAAAAGTACGGATGGCACAAAATACGTATTTGAGATCCAAGCTACAGACCATGAACATCTCGACAGGTGATGTCCAGCTCTGTGATGGACTGTGAGGATAGGAAGCTAGTCTGGAACAACACATCTGACATTTGTAAAATCAGGATCTCGTCCCGTAGATTCTTCTGCCACCATGGTAACTTGTCTACTTGGGACAGAGGTCGAAGGTCGGGGATAGGAAACCTGAAGAGGGATATCAAACATCTGTATAAGTATACAAGTTTATAAGAATTGATTAAAAAATTTCATAAAATGAATCTTAATGTATCACTTTGTAAACTAGTAAAGCTATATGTCTTTATTTTGATAAGACTTGAAACATGTACATATGATGAACATCAACTTGAAAAATATATATTATTACCTAAGCGAAAGCTTGGCTGAAGGACAGGATATTTGCAGGTCATACTTGTGTTCTTGTGTACCAGGACCATCATCTAGTGCCTGGCTCAAGGCATAGGACGTCATCTGCACAATTAATCACCATATTACAAATATGTAGACAACAAATTCTATATCAAATAAGATCTATGGTATTGTATGTGTGAATTCAAAGTGTTTAAAATGACAGCTAAGATACAGAACCTACCGATCATAGAGCCATGTACCCTGATCTTCATGTCACGCTTGTGATGTACAGATTAGTCTTAAATCTTTCCTTCATGCTGAATGATTACAATTCTTGAAATGGATCTCAAAATTCGTAAATAGAATTTCTCACCTCTGTGTGGTGTTAATGGGCAAAGATTTCTTTGTCCTAATCACACAAAGTGACAGATATTTTTATTCCAAACTGGCCTATTGCAATTTATTACATTTTTAGCAGTGAAATATAGGGATATCTCAAACTGATAAAAGTGATATTTTTCACTAGTGAAAAATATCACTTTGAGGATTGACCAATCAGAGAGCCCGATACAAATCTACTCCAATTCCGACTAAGTGTGCCAAGCTTTTTCATGCGCAGAAGAATTTGCCATTGTTTCGGTTTATTTTGGCGATGAAAATGTAATAAACAGAATTTTTAATAATGTCTTCAGTAACAACAAATATATTTCACTCGTGTGGCTAATAATTTGGTATCTTTCACTCGCAATTTGCTTCGCACTCATGAAAGATACCAAAATATTAGCCACACAAGTGAAATATATTTGTTATTACTGAAGACACTATTAAATATCCTATATATGTCATATGGACATGTCAAAAAAGTGTAATGTGTGATAACACTGTTATGACTAATACATAAGTCAAGCCTTGATGTTGTTACAAGATTGTCTCAGTAGTTAAAATGGTACCGTTCACAACCAAATGAAAGGAAATGAATTTGAGAGATTTCAGAAATACAGGGTATATAAAATCTCATATTCTTGCAAATGTAGTATGGAATTCATAAATTTGATAATTAATTTGACATATCACTCACTTACCCGCTCATAACAAAACCAATTATTGATCTCTTTTAATAAATTCCATACAACACCAACACTCATGTCAGATCCTCTATTTCTCACACACTATACTATTGCACAATATTGGTCAGTATGCACAACATCACAATTAATGGCTAAAGAAATGAGTGTAAAAATAATGTTGATGATACAGCTCTAATTTGAGAGGTGACATCAAAGTTTCTAAGGAAAAAAAGGTAAATCTTCCACAAGCAAACACCAGCACCTGTGAAGTGTGGGTGAAACTGTCATTCAAGAATTCGATCATCAGGTTAACTCTTGTATTTTGACCAATAGATTCAGGTATTCTGACCAGTAATACAGGGTTTCTGAATATTAGTTGCGTCCTACCCCGCCCGATATGTTGGTAGCAACACTTGTGCTATAGGGTCGTCTTGTTGGCTCTGGTTTGATGAGGCTATTAATCCTGTCCACAATGGTGATGTCAACCTCTGACTCCAGTTGTGCAAGTACAATACTAATATCTGTTTTAGGGAAACTGTTGGCTTTCTGAGACCCCTGTATACAAGAAAATGAATTTCAAAGATATCACCAATAAATAGGAAAGTTATTTGTCAGATTATTTTTTTCAAAAATGCGAAAATATAAACTGTTAATTTGCCTTTACAATTATGTTATGATTCCTTTCAAAATAAAATCACACTTGATATTAGATATTTTGAAAGAAGAAAACATTCCTTCAGCCTAACTCAGCTTTCAGTGAGACTCTCTGAAATGTGTAGTCAACCTACCCGCAGCTGTTGCAGGCTTTTGACAGTGGCCTTGACACAAGGAGCACCGCCATGCATACTGCTGTACATCTGGTTGGAGTGGATTGGAGATGGTACCACATCTCTATGGAATACCAGCAACTAAAACAAAATAAAAAAGACAAATCCATGTAACTAGTGTACATCTGGGTCAAATTGCAGTTAGACATAAGTAAATTAACAATCCATTGACTTAACGTCAGTAGTGTTAGCTGATCATACATGTGTGTTAGACTGGCTCAACTTGTATCTCAAAGGTTCCTCCATCAACAATGCAGACAATAACAGTGGCTTCAATGTTACAACTTGATTATTTTCTTGTCTAAATTGGAATCAAACAATATCGCAATCTAAATAAGAACTGTCTGATCACATCCAAGTGTTCAAGTGTAAATGTATACTAATTGATAAATTCATCATCGCCTTATCTTACCTAAATGACTGGCAAAAACAACGATTCTTATCACTCAATCATGCCATAGAAATCTTAGTGCATGGAGAAAACCACTTTTCATACAGAATTGATAACCTTCAACCAAGCATGCTTCAGACCAAACTGACACAGAATCCTGGCATTCCTTCATAAAAACAATGATTTTAAAGTATTTGCCTTATTTCCACTATTGGGCCCCATGCCCTTCCCACCCCAAAGGGCTCAGACCCAAAATTTCCTTCACCCTGTAGGGCTCCATCCAAAGGGGCCGAAACCCAAAGTTAATAAACTGATTTCACTTCACCCAAAGATGCTTCAGACCAAATTTGGGCAAAATCTAAATATTCCTACAGGAGTAGGATCTTAGAACATTGAAAATGCTTTATTCCCCTAATGATCCCCTCCCCTCTTTTCACAAAGACCCACCACTTAAAAAAATTCAAATTTTAAACACACCCAAGAATGCTTCACATCAAACTTGGACAAAATTTAATTGTTCATACATGAAGACTTGGATTTTAAAGAATTTACTTTATTTCCCTTATTGGGCCTCCTCCCTTAGGGGGCCTAGATCCAACATTTATACACAATTGATTCTCTTCTCCAAATGACACTTAAAATCAAATTTTAGCAAAATCTAAACATCCCACAAGAGTAAAAGAGGTTTAAAGTATTTGCTCCACCTCCCCTATTTTGGCCCTGCCCCTTCTGTCCCAGGGGGCTGAGACCCAGACATGAATTGTTTCCCTTCCTCCAGTGATGTTTCTGACCAAATTTTGTCAATTTTGACAAGTTAGGATTTGTAGAAAAAGTTGTTAGGCAACAGATAAGCCAATAACGCCACTGTATACCATGAGCTAGAAATCAAGCTCAATTACGTGAAAACCCAAAAAAAAAGAAAAAGAAAAAAGAATAAGATAATGTAACATTGTCAAGTTCATATGTTACACATTTTTACAGTAAACAAAACTGTTATACAAACAACTTTAAAGTATGATTATATATCACTTTCCATTTGCATGTTAAAAATTCACTTTTCTAATATTTTCTCCGAAAACTGTATAGAAAATGTGAGACGCAATTTGTCTGTCACATGTTTCTACTTGGAAATTTGATTTGGAAAAAACCTTAAGCTTTCGATGAATCATATCTATGGATATTTATATATACACATACATGTATGTGCATGCCAAATTAGGTACTTCAAGCAATAAACAACAACACTTTCAGAAACTCAGGTGTTCATGTGTCAGATGTGTGTTTGATATTGTCAATCCCTAATTCCTCATGATTTCCATACAAGTAAATAATAAATATATATATATGTGTGTGTGTGTGTGTGTGTGTGTGTGTGTGTGCCCTTTAGTGAATATATATACTCAAATGTAATTAATATCTGTGTGTTGTTAATGACAATTGAGAGTTGAATAGTCCAGTTAAGGCACCTGTGGCATACAGTCAATTCTATACTGTAAATACACACACACTTTGATAAATGGTGTGTAATTGCACCCCGTCTGACCAGAATTTATCATTTTGCTATGACATCACACATTTTCTCTTTTACCTCGTTCAGGTAATATATCAAGACAGATGTGAATCATGTCTGAAGATCTGTAGACAAGTTAAAAGACTCTGTTCATTTATATAATCACTCAGTTTCTCTAAATTCCAGGTGAGACACATAAAAAATACCATTTGACAACATTCAATGTCGATACTAGATTACTTTACATTGTACAAATCTACATTTAAATATTGTATTTCAACAAATAGTAATTCCAGTCTGTAAATTCATGAATAAAAACCACAGCTGAATTCAGATATTTTATGTTTGAAATATATATTGTTCAGAAAGTTCAATGTATCTTTGTTACACAAAAGGTCAAGTGAGTATGGCTGCTGTTTGAAGAGATATACACACAGAATCACTCTAGCATTTGCCAACACAATGTTTCACGTTTATACACAGATACACAGACTTACAGCAGCTTTATCATAAATATCCTTACAGAAATGTACAGGTGAACATCCTAAGATGTCGGAAATATTTTAAAGATCCTAATCCCATATTCTGCAAACAAATAAAACATCTATATTAAGCCAACTTTCCAAATAGCAGGATATGCCCTTTACTTCACCACAAGAAATATGACTTCATTATTTACTAGGTACAAAAAGCTAGTGGAAAAGCATGAATTAAATGTTTATATATGATGATAGAGGAAAAAAGGCTAGGGATGCATTCCCAAAGAGAGGCTGCTCCCTACCCATGGCAGTTTTTGTTTCTCAGGAGGAAGCTGAGAAATGCATCAGTCCATGTTGTTGTAGTTGTATAAAGGTAAGACATATTACCCCCAACTTTTCTAGATGACATGCGACAGGCCTTCTGTATGTTGTTCAGAGAAGCAGCCACCTGCTACTTTGAGGTGACCCTAACTCAGGATTACCATGGCTGTTCACTAAGAACAGCAAACAAACTCAACCAAATGCATTTTACCCAAAGTAGAATTTTTGGAGCTAAGTACTGAAATAGCTATCTGAATGTAATAGTTGAAGGTAAATGTAGAGAACTTGATCCGGAAACTCTAGTATTGTGGTGAGCTGTTTTATTTGTACAGTGAAACCTCACTATTAAGACCACTTTGGGGACTGAACAAAAGTGGTCTTAATAGCGGGGTGGTCTTAACAGTGAGGTGGATCAGATTGACTGCAAAGGACCGTAACTCTGTTTAAAATAGAGACTATATATATATCATTAAGTAATGTACATGTATATTATTCAACAATTATAACTAAACTGTACATAAAATGTTGAATTTTATTAAATGCACGTAAAAAAAGATAAAATTGGTGAATTATCAAAAGAATATACATGTATATATTGCTTAGTTTATATCATAATATACATGTATATTTACTATTGTAAACATTGAATAAAAGAATACAAACAATCAACTTTAAGTTCAATAGGAATTTAACATTAATTTTTCATTTTTTCACATAAATTACAAACACATTTACTCAGTATTTGTAACAACATTAATGAAGTCACTATAAAGTCTTTCAATGCTTCATTTTTCACATAAATTTGCAAACACACTAACTTGAGGTTTTTTAATGTAAAACCAATTTTCATGATGTAATACTTACCATAACTTTAGTATGCAAATACAGTACCTACACCCATCTTTGTATCCCAACAACAAAAGATTCAAAAGAAAAACAATCCCGCCCTCCCTACGATCCATGAGCCATCACGGCAGGAACGCAGAGAGATCTCCCTTCCTCTAATAACCTTTATGGCGTAAACCCCACAGAGGGGCAGCCAGGCAGATAAGGAAGAGGGGAGGATAGGGTGGGACTCCATAAAGTTATGGTAAGTATTACATCATGAAAATTGGTTTTACATTAAAAAACCTCAATTTCATTTCAGTAATAATTACCATAACTTTAGTATGCGAATTCGTCTTACCGTAGTGGTGACTAGAAGCCAGGCAGCCCCTTCAGCACAACCAAAGTAGTAGGGAGGGAGAACAGAGTGCTAAATTGAAGGAAGGGACCTCTCTGTGAAAGAGCAGGTGTACCCACATGCCGCCGTACGGAAAGACATGGCCCGGGGCTAACGAGGAGGCCCAGCCACTGACTATGCCACCACCAAAGGTCCCAATGAATACAGGCCTTCTGAGTGGGAAGCTAGGGATCACAGATAAAAATCTGTGAAGGTATCCCTGCCCTGCCAGAATACTGCAGACATGACCTCCTGAAAGGAGGACTCATTGAGAGAAGGGCCCAGGATGAAGCAAGGGCCCTGACCTCGTGAGACCGCGCTTTCGCTCTCGCCCGAGCCAGATCATCAAAATGCTCGTAAGCATACTAAATCACCTGGCAAACCCACCTGGAAACTGACTGGGAGGAGATATCTCGTTGTCCCTATTTAATGGGCAAAACAGATGGGATCGAGAGCCCCGCCCCCCCCCCCCCCCCCCCCCCCCCCCCTGGTTTTATCAAGATAAAACCTAAGAGCCCGACAAAGACAAAGCAACCTATCTCGCTCCTCCGAGCTAGTCACAGCCAGGATCCTGATGGGATCGTGCGAGAACCCCGGAAACTGATTCTTCGCTAAAAACAACTCTATTCATAGCAAAGCCTCTGATTAGGGCAGAAAGAGAGGAGGACTAACCGGTCTCCTTCCTGCCATAACAAGCAAGAACTCTGGCAATAGCTGTACGATAGCCAGCAATAGTGCCAGGTGGCAGATAGCGGTACCTAAACAAAGAGATTAGGAAGTCCGCAATCAAATGCAGAGGCTTCGAATGAATAAGCTTCCTTGCCGACACACCAATCACAGAAGATCATCCAACGTGACTGGTAGACGGCAGAAGAGGAAGCCCTGATTGATTGCTCAATGCAATCTGACACCTCTTGAGAAAAGCCTGCCTTGGCGTGGCTTCCAGAGATAGCCTCAACGCGTGAAAGTGGAGGATCTCTGGTCAAGAGTGTGTTGTTCTGGGCCAAGGCTGGCGAAGGAGATTCGGTCTGGTGGGGAGAACCAAGGGCTCCTCCACCAGAAACGACAAGAGCTCCTGAAACCAAGCTTGCCTCGGCCACAGAGGGGCTCTCAGAAGTAAGGAGCAGTGATGCTCCCAGAACTTCTGTAGAACCCTGC